GATGTAACGGTTTATGATATCCTAGTACCAATGTAGTGGTACCTTCATTTACATTCGGCGTAATAAAACGTTGTAAACAACTGCTTACATTAATTTGTGATACAAGATTTCAGAACTTAGGCAAAATGGATATGTCTGTGCTGGGAAAAGTTATAAGCAATTTTGTAAGTATCATGTTACATTTAAAAAAAATGTGTCTTATCCACTTGCTAACTTACCTCTAATCTTAACTTAAATATTTTCTTTTATCGGCTGGCGTCTTATTGTCAAATAGGATTTTATTTCCATCCTAGGAAAAACAAGTTCTTTGTATTTAATGCAATATTTTATACAAGCTTATATTTAATTTGCAATGTATGTATGTATGTTATTATGAATGTATAAATGGAAAATTGAACTTTGCAATTGAATTTTGAAGCAGATATATTATCTTCAACCGATTACGCTGAAATGTTTGTACACGTTTATTTTGCATAACCTTAAATGTCTTAATTCAAACGATGTGAAGCTTGTCGTGAGATTAGGCATAAAGAAGTCTCAGATGTTATCGTATTTATTCTACGCATTTAAAATTATCGATATTTTGACATATTTGGTTCAACAGATTTATTAAAAAGCTGTTTTATACTTTAGTTTGTGTTTGAAATATTACTATTATCTAATAAACGAGCGAAGACTGTAAACGGCCAAGACTATCTATAAACGGTGAAATTCAAAGGCCATTAGAAACAGGATTATTATTTAAAAACTTTAATTTGATTGTCTTATCAGCATAACACAATAAACCAGCATGCGATCTAAATGGTTACCACAAAAAAGTCCATTACAAAGCTGTCAGTTTTATTATAAGAGAAATGTAATTTTAATAACTAAGTTTCGTTAATGCCTGTTGCCTATGAAACAATAAGTTATTTGCGTGTCTTGAACAGCATTATGGGAAAGTGCGGTGCCGTGCCATCCCCCTTCACGGCCCCTGCCTTAATGAAACCCATCTATCTGTTTATTAATTTACATTTTACAATTTGACTCCTAGGGCCCTAGGCTAGTTCGAGACAGACCGCAACCAGGCGCCGACATGTTTGTAGCAAAATAACCAAACTAAAAAACAACACCTAGGTTTATATTTAAGGACAAAGTCAAATCACGCGAATAAAAATTTTCAGTTGAAAATAAGACATAGAAATGTTCAAACACAGTTGAAACATTTCAAGACAATATTGTGTATTTTTCTACTCTCGTTTCTCTTAGTCAGTCAAAATGTTCGTCCACGGTATTAAGCCCGGTTCCAGTGAAGAAGAGGAAGAGGAAGATGTCATGGATATTCTCATGGTCTGTTCAGAAAAGCTTTCTGCATCAATGTAAAACACAAGGAGTTAACAATCTCACTTTAACTTCCAGAAAAGAAGAGAAGAATGCGAGCGGAAGGCGAGGAGGGGGGAGATGGACCCCCGGCTGGAGTTCACCTTCCAGCTCCTGATAGATGGCACTGGACTTCCACGTCATGCTATCATGGATCATGTATTCGAAGGAAATATGGTACTGAACTTTAAGTGCTATTTAGTGTTTTATTTGAGTTATTACATGAAAGTGCCTTTTGTCCCTAAATGACTGTAAATTTTTTGTTTTTATGATAAAGTTAAATGAGTTCAAATTGTCTACAGTTGGATGATATCAACCAACTCTTCCTTCCACACATGAGAAACAAGCTCCTATGGTACTATCAAGACGTAGAAGAGATCGAACATCGGCCGATTCCAGAAGGCACAAAGAAAGGCCAGGGGAAACCACCGCCTCCCATAATAACTTTGAAGAAGAAGTTGTTTCTTTCGGACGGTTGGGATGTACGATTTACAGGCGTCTGTATTTACATGTTTCGTATAAATGTCAGCAAGCAACTGCCAGAAGAAGGGTTTCATAAAGATCTGTAAGTTTAACTAATTTTGTGTGAACTTAGTATACAAGTGTTCATGTATAATTGATTTCTATTTACCTTTGACCAGTTTTTGTGGTATACTAAACGCTCAGCAAGTTGGTCTAGTGACGGCTATAGAACGAGTCATGGAACATGTGTACATGAACGCACTGGCACATCCTAGCAGCGACGGAGAAGAAGATGAAACGAGATTTCCCATTGTGAAGAACCAACTGTTGCCAGGGCTTAGGTCTTTCTGCAGCGCTCTAAAAGGTTTGTGGTGTTAATGATTGATAAAAAATAATCTGTAGTAATATTAGCTTTCTGTTCCATGCTCTCCCGTAAAACTTAAGGTGAAAATTACAGTTTTTTTATCCATTTCGTTGAACTTGTTTAATTCAGTAAAACACTACGTAAAGGTACTTTTTGTTACATACAACTTACGTACTTTGATTTGAAATTCGTTTATTGGCTTACAAAAAGAAGATTACGTTATCGTGTGAAAAGGCTATAAGTTTGAAGATTTCTGTGAGTGAAGTTATTATTTGTATTTTCGTGTCTGAAAAAAGTGTAAATATTGTTGGTATACTTAATATGCAACATATTCTTTTCTAATTTTAATTAAATGCTTCGGTTTGCAGTGTGTGAGGATGTATGCAACCAAGTGAACCTGTTCGATGATGGCCAGGCTCATATGGCAGAGCTTCAAGATCACACCCAGCTGAAAGACATGGCAAAAAATCCGACCACTATCACTATGCTAGAAGAACGAGTCAACGAGTGGATCAAAAAAGTTATGGAGGTAGGTTTCAATTAAAAAAAAATGTGCGTACAAATAGCAGTACAAGAAGAGCAATGCTTTGGCACGAATAGGCCGGCTCGACTGGACAACCCTAAATCCTCCACAATCCTCAAATTAACAATTCCCAAGGCCGGTAACGCACTTGTAACCTTGGTTTTTCTGGTGTCCGTGGGCGGCGCCGATTGCTTACAATCACCGTCTGCTCGTTTACCGGCTTATGCCATAAAACAATCTAGGTTTATAAAAACGTTGTCCACACGAATATTCTCTGTGTCATAGGTGCATTTACAAACTTTTTTTCATGTTCTGCACACATCAGACGGAACCGGAACAGTAATTTCCAGAGTTCACGATTGTATGCCTATCGTTGCTTTTTACGCATATTTCTTTCGGATAAACTAATGTCCGTCAAAATGTTAAGATATTTATTTAACTCTTTTAGATACTTAGTGAAAGTGAACAACTGCGACGTGAAGTGGACTCCAGTGGCCCACAAGATGAATTGGAGTACTGGAAGAAACGAGGTGCTCAATTCTCACAGCTGGTTTCATATTTACAGGTGAGTAAATAACAATGTTGTTAGTAGAATGCCCAGATAAGGGTATTTCTCAAAGTTATTATTTTGAGAAAGTGACAAGAAGGAATGAAAACTTTGGGTATATACATTCCATGATAAGTTAAATTTAATACTCTGTGAACATTTGAGGAATCTAAAGTGACGAGAAGCCTAAGGTTATTTATTAAAAGAGTCACCAAGAGTGTGTAAATATAGCAAAATTGCATAATGAAAATTTCATAAATATTCACTTAATATTTTTTTATGGGATAAATTCATTTATTCAAATAAAAAACTTAAATTAAAAACTAACTATTACTTTAAAAAAATTAAAACTAAATATTACTAAATTAAATACCTATATACAACTAAAGATTAAAATTAATTATAAGAAAAAACAAAAACAACTATTTACATAAAGCGTCGAAAAATTCGTCCGCATCGACGTCAGTGGGGAAAGTACCCAGAAGGCTGGCAGCATTGCCACGTTGTATGGCAATGCTTAACCTCTGACCGAGAAAAAGACCAGCCCTCTGGTCACGAGATGTGTCAACCAGGCGTTTTGAAATGTTTTGGAATAATTTAAGTGCACTCGGACCCCACGGACCTAGCGTCTCAACCCCAAACGGCTCAATGATATAACTACCAGCAAGGTTGTTATACTTGCGCCGCTTGAGGCTTTCTGCAGAGGCAGCAGCCGAACCAGCACAACCCGCCGTTACTGGAAGATGAGAAGGTGCAAGGGTGTCAACGCAGGTTGCGTCCCACACCAAAGACCTTCCCAGCTTCCAGGGCATAATGGACATACCGTCGGGTCTCTTACCATCGTCGCGTGCCAAACCCTTTGGTTCCAGAACAGCTGGCACACCGGCGATGATAAGAGCTCGGCGGATAATGTCGTTAATGCTGGCGTGTCGAGCTATCCGGCCCGACAAAAAAAAAATAAAAAAAAAAATTATTGTAATACAACTTTAAAATGGAGAATAATCCTATATCAAAAATACGTTTTCCGTTAACATGGTTATTTATATATTATTTATTATTTTTATAGAAAAAGATACACCATGCCTCATTTTAACTTGATCTGATGATCATTTGATATTTTTCATTATCATTAAAACAAAACAGAAATTTGACGATAATTTAATTTTCTATTTTCACAGGATAACGAGGTTCAACTCACATTAAGTTGCCTGCAAATTGCAAATTCGAAAGTGATCAAACTTTGGCGAGACACTGACCATAAGATAACTTTCTGTTACAACGAAGCAAAGGATAATGCTAAGTTTATACAAGCAATGGAGAAGTGCTGTCATTCATTGTACTTGGACGATCCTGTGAAGATTAAGGACTCCATACTTAGTTTGTTGCAGACTGTCCGACTTATACACAGCGTATCTCAGTTCTATAATACGTCAGAAAGAATATCTTCCTTGATGGTGAAGGTAGGGAAGATAAAGTAGATTTAAAACCCGTTATTTTATGGTATCAAGTTCTTCTTTCCCCGAAGGTGTCATAAAGTGGGCAAATTGATACATTAACGATCTTCTTCAGGCATGTTTACATACAATCATGTTTACATTAAGCACTTCCACTTCCTAGAATTTAAAACGGAGACCTTTTCGACCAATGAGATTTATTTTATGCAATTACTTTTCCGTTATTATATTCAATGCCAATTTAAAAATAATTAGTTTAAAGAATCAACGAAAGTTCTATTTACTGTACTTTCTCCACGTTCTTTACAGATAACTAATCAAATGATAGAAACGTGCAAGCAATACATAACATGTCGCTTCAAGGAAACGATATGGTCTCAGGAGCGTGCTTTGGTTCGAGATAAATTAATTCATTGCATCAATTTGAACAAGACTTACAGAGAGACTTATCTGTTCGTCAAAAATCAACCGTTCTTACCAAATACGGAACAATTTAGTTTTTCTGAGAATTATGTCTTTGGGAAATTCGATACGTTTTGCAAGAGACTCAATAAAATCATTGCTATGTTCGACTTGATGGACGATTATAATAACCTGTTTGAAAAGAGGATGGAGGGTTTATTGTTGGGAGAAGGTAAGTTATTCACCGACAAATGGTTTTTTAAAAACTTATTGTCGCGGAGAACTTAACGGTTTACCGGGGCTCCGGCACGACGTGCAGGAGAAGGAACAGGGGAGGTTTTTAGTCAGGAAGAGTCTGACCCTCCCTCCTGCCTCACCCAGGCGGGAGCAAACATTTGATGATTTTTCCTCCCTTAAAAAAAAGAGTCATAAAATTTTGAAAAAAAAGTATAAATAGCGACATCTACATTAAGTCTAACGAATTAACCGGTATCCTAGCAACTAGTTTCTGATAGATGTAGAAGCAGGGGCAGGGGCGGTACTAGTAGCAAAGCATCTTCATAGCACTTGTTGGCCGATAGGAGTCGCTTTAAAATATCATGTAGATATTGTGTGAGATTCAATGAGGACTGTCTTTATTGTACTCACTAGATACGGTTGATGTACAATAGAGGATGTACTCAAAAATCATTGAAACAAAATTTTTGCCTAGAGTACTTTTCATGAACGTGTTGAAAGTAAAAAGAGTATGCCAGGATCATAGTAGGTGATACACTATAATTGCTGCCCACTGCTAGGTTGCAAAGGCGTGAGTTTTTAGGTATAGGTTGGTTGACGATGTGGTTAACACATTACATTAAATCTCGTACTGAAACAAATAATATATACATACATACATCACCTCACACCTGTCTTCCATGAGGGTAGGCATATACTATGGAACGCCACCAAATAATAATAAAATTATTCCGAACGTGAAACTCTCATAACGTCCCTGTAAACCCCAGCGTGGGTTGTAAATCGAATTATTAAGAATATCTACGAATAATTATGAATATCATATATTTAATAAAATGTAATGTTATTTATTGCTAAGTAGATGCATGATAATCTGTGGCAACGTCATGAGGAGTGTATTTGTTAAATCTATTATTTTATTCATTCGTTTTATATTTAATATAGTGCTGTTTGTTGTCATTGATAAATAAAAATACAAATAAAATTGTTACTTAAACCATTTTTATCACACGAAATATATATTATCGACACTCTACTTTGTTGGTTTTATGTGTTAGTATAAATTCTACTCAAACTACTAAAATAGATTCAGATGTAATAAAATTTTAATTTTTAATATTTAATTTTTAAACAGCAACCGTAGTACGCTTCACAAACTGAACAATACCCGCATAGGTCACAAACCATCCGCACCTGTACTAGGGCGCCATGTCTGCGAGGAGATCACGCTTCACACTGTTTTAGACTTTATGTCGACGGAATAAAAGTTATGAGGAAATCCTTACTCCCGTTGACCTGCTATCTTGCGTTCAATATGTTCACGCTGAAAATAAATAAACAATATTGCAAAAAAAACAAGTTAAATACACACATACACACACACATAGTTGAGTGACTATCTCGAGGTCATAAATACATTTTGTTGTATTTCCTTTTTATTTTAATGCCTTGATTTCTTTTATTTTTCACATTAAGATTTTTCACATTAGGATAAGAATTTCAGTTTTCGTATACATTTTTAATGAAACATTAATTTTTTTAGATCTTGAGGAAGCCATGCACACATTTGAAGAAGCAAAAAAAGCAGTAACGACATGCCAGTATGATTATCTAGATTACAGAAACAATGAATTTGACAAAGATTATAATACTTTTGAAGACAAGACGAACGCACTTCGGGAATCTATTGGAAACACTATTGAAGAAAATTTTGCGACAGTATGGGAGACCCCACAAGGGATTAAGTTTTTGACAAGATTTGAGAAGGCAAGCGATTTTTTAAATAATGTCAATTGCATTTGGAGCTTACTCAGTTTACGTAAGTTACGTCTATAGAAACTTACTTGACATACCTTTTTTATGTATTTTAGGTGAGCCAAAAGATAATGATAACGAAATTAAGTGAGAAATATGACAGAGTGCTAAGATACTGTGAAAAAGAAGTGGATAAGATTACCAAAATGTTTAAGAGGCAAAGGGAAGACCCGCCTTTGCCCCGTAATTACTCTCCGGTCGCAGGTCAGTGGATTTTTTTAATGCTAAATATTTTATTGTACCAGGGTCGCACATTTTCATAGCAGGTACATCGATTGCCATTAAAAGTTAATCGTAATGTAATACAATAGGTATTTGAATGATTGTGAGGAGTAGTGGAAATTATTTTGGTACCTGTACAATACAATATATTAAAATGCATGTTTTTAAAAAAAAATTAAACTGTTTGTACTTTAATATCTAACGTTCGGACATTCAAGTTGATTTCAATAAAATATAGCATGCAACATAAATAACTGTCAACTTACTAAGGATTTACTATTTGTTGGTAAAAGATAAATAAAAAATCTAAACATATTTTATACAATTTGTATAACCTATCCTTTTGTATAAATAAAACCCAAACATTCGCGCGGTTTTGAAAATTTGGAATGCTGTGGTTCAATAATAACAACCCCAACCCCTGTCACGGAGTAGAAGGAGATGGCATGATCAAACTATCGTTGTCCTTTACTGTGTTGCATTCGTCGATACTGACGTCAGTACAAAGAGAGGGCTGGCCAGTTCAGTGTGACGTCACTATTTTCGTAATAAATACAGGGTGCGCAGCAGTCTCTCGTCCGATATCACTTGATTGGAAAATCAATAGAATGTTGAACTCTTGGCATTGAACTTTGATGTGTTTCTATCGTACTGTACGCAGGTATTTAGGTAGTTCACGCAGATTCAATGTATGTAATTAGGGAATGGGGTTAGGGTATTCCAAGATAGGGTGATTTGTCTTACTTACATATGTGATAAGCATTATGTTGATTTATTTATCATGTGATGGTTGTTGAAAGATGTTTTAAATGGAAATAATAAACATGAGTGTTGGGTATATCTTATACTATTATATAAAGCGGAAGAGTTTGTTTGTTTGAACGCGCTAATCTCCGTTACTACAAGTCCGATTTGAATAATACTTTTTGTGTTGGATAGTGCATTTATCGAGGATGGCTATAAGTTATAAAACATCACGCTACGATCAATAGGAGCTGAGCAGAGCGTGTGAAACCGCGCGGAAGTAGCTAGTGTAACAATATAATTAAGGCAAAGTTTCTTTCTAGATATACGTCGTGTTTAGTTAACAATTTCCTTACCAAACTTCATTAGTTAATTTTAAAATGACAAACGCCCGAATACTGATGGGCAATTTTAAGTTTTTAAGTCGCAGTTAAGTATAGTTCTATTAGAACCACTTAAAATTTAAAAGTATTTGGGCTTTAGTCAAGAACAAAGTGATCCGTAATTTATTCATTAGGTATAAATCATAGGTATATTATTTAATGTACTACGTCTGTATTTTTTCTGCACTATTAAAACCCTGCTAGTATGTAATAACTTATTTGTGTTGTCGCTCAGAAAGAAATAAAGAGTTAAGGTTTCCTACGAGGTTTCCTTATTTTAGAGCTCCCAACCACCGCATAGGTTAGGTCCAATAGTAAACTGTTTCTGATATACTTACTTAAGAAAGCGGTGGTAGTTTCTTAACCCTTCAGCCACTCAGTCTCGTTGCCCCTCTGTTGCTATATCTAGCAACCATTCCCGGGGCCCGGTCGGTGAGTTGGCGAGTCTCCGCCTGCCATTTTTACGTGTAAAAATTACATTGTTTCGGCAGGTGCCATAGTCATCCATAGTTCCTAATTTACCAGTCCACAGCAACCCATCCATAGCCCTACCTTTTTTTCCATTATCCACAATAGTCCTACACTAACCGGGAACTGTCCTTGGGTGCATTTCCATAGTGCATACAGGGATAGTCGCCGGTTTGTGTGTCCATTACATTTATATTAAAGTTGTCTAAAGGGCCTCTGCGCAGTTGGCTTCGGCCCCTCGTACGCCTCCCAAATGACCGGGACCCTGTGGTCCCGTGAATGGTAAAGAAATACTTAAAATGAGAACATAACGCATACTTATTAATATTTAATTTATAAAAAATCGTCATGATAATAATAAAATGTGTATTTTGTGCATTTGTGCTTTGTGCATGAAGCTTAAATAAATAAATAAAAATGATTACCGAGTCGAGATTAAAAATTATGAAATTTATATTACACTTATGTATACGAACGAACTTTACAGGTCGCATAAAATGGTCTCGATGTCTGATGCACAATATGACGGAGACAGTGGAGAGTGTCTGTGCTCATCCAGTTCTCAGGGCTTTGCCAGCATCCGCTGACATGATGAGGAAGTACTCCAACACTCGTTCCCTCATTCACAATTACGAGGAGACCATGAAAGCTGTATGGATGAATCAAAATGTAAGTGCATTCATTAATTTAAACTGTCAAACACCGCGAGGACACCGGCGACCGCAACCGATTTTCTTCTTAATCGTGTCTATAATGACGGTACTCAAAGAGTTAATATTAAATGAGGACTGCCGCGACTGACTTAACCGCCTGATTGTAGTGTAAGCGAGAAATCAACAACTTCTCCAACAGACTATTTGGCAAATGTGTGATCGCAAACAAGAGGATTGAAATGCGCGTTGTAAACAAAACTCCGAATATATATCATATTGACAAATTATATAAGAAATATGCATGTTCTCGCTGACGCGCTCAGCTCTTCGTATACCTATTATACTCCTTGGGTCAGTATAGTTCATCCCAGTGATAACTTACGTACCACTCCTCAGTAATCGCGTTATGGTATGATATTTTAAATTTGTATTGAATAAAAAGTTATATATTAAGTATTTTTTGTATAAGTTTAAATGCCATTTAACTTTTTTCATACGAAGAAAAAGAGCAAGAAAGAAGTTAAAGTTTTTATTCCAGAAAATCTAAAATGTTAGTGTCTCCTTTCTTAGTACATATTATCGTAGTTAAACAACACAAAACACTCAATATTATTTGTTAACAACAGCAAATTCCACAATGTAACATATTCGTTACGTTTATGTTCTTCTTTCTACAACTTAAGATAATGGTCCACCTTTCCGTTTGATGACCCTGTTGTCAGAAACGACTCTTATATTGTTCAAAAGACTTTTCATTGATTCTGATAACCTAGTACCCAGATACGACAGACAGCTACGTGTTTCGTTCCGACCGAGACCATGAATGAGAGTGAATCTCGTCCTCGTCTCGCGTAGACAAAATATCGCGACTTTTCACCATCGTATTGTTCTTTATAATTATTATCGTTCTGTCTTATAATTTCTGAAATTGTTTCTTCTGTCAGACAAGTGGTATCGGATTTGATTAATATAGCACTGCTCACTTTTGAATTGACGAAAGGTCTTATGGCTCCTTCTCTCTGCATATGTATTAGAATTTTCAAATTAATATATCTATATATATTAAAACAAAGACGGGTTTGTTACAACACTTATTTAACTCGAGATCGGCTAGACCTAAAATTTTCATGGTTTTTGGTTCGTTGGATTTGTCCTCGCCCCGAATAACAAAACTAGACGAGAAGAGTCAAACATTTGTTGTCCATCCTGTCAAATATGATTAACATTTACGCGTGCGTTCATATATTTATTAGTATGTTCTAAACTACAGTATTTCTAAAAACAATTTCTAAGATTTATGTTAAAGGTTATCGAAAACGTAAGTCGTAAGTAACGTAAGTTTTTAATTTTTTGGTCAGGCTTTATTTCTAAAATTTATTTTACAGGTTAACGAAAACGTAGATATCTTTTTACTTATGTCGTGTTTGATTTTTTTAAGATTTGTGACAAAGGTTAAAGAGTGCACCATCCAAAGTAGTAGTCTATGATCTAAACCAGTCTCGAAAGTTCAGGTACTCTTTAAATTTGTTTGCAAAGAGTAAATTTGTTTGTTTTGAAAGATGAGGAAGTTCTTATTTCCGATGATCCCAATAGATATGCCCTTTGAATTTAAACTAATTCAATTCCCACCTAGTATGTCGTTTAACTACAAGGTGCTTGAATGAACAAAGTTAATCCGAGTGCATCACATGCTACACAACATCATTCAATTTAATAAAAAAAATTCTCACACGTGTTTGAAGTACTTCATTTTTATTTGTATTTTCTTTCTGTATGTATTGTTCATAATAATAAAATACTTTTATTTGTTCATATTTATTTTGTATCATTGTAATTCGTTCATCAAAGCCTAAATTAGTTCGCTAAAAGGTAACATAATTATTGACTGTTAGGCGGTACGAAATTTGCCGGGTCGGCTAGTAAATATTTAAGTCTGGTTTTAAACTGTCTTTACTTTTATTAGAATGTACCCTTTTATGCCTACCTATTTCATTAATCTGTTTAATGACCTCGATGTGACCCAGTTGCACTAACACTTCTATAGGTAGGACGCTCTGCACGTGACGACTGACGACTGCAATGACACGTTTAAATTGTTTCTTTGAAATATCTTTGGTACGTCTGATATCCTAGTACCCAAACACGTCGGTTACGTGTTTCGGATCCGATCCCTGCATTGTACGGATGCATTTGGTGGAGTGCTTTGTCACCGCCTACCACACTACGCAACTTAGACAGACTAATAAAACAAAGAACGGCAATTTCATAAGTGAATACCCATATTGTTTGAGAGTCCAAGTTAATATTAATAATTTCAATGATTTTTAGATCAGATATTGTAATAAAATAATAAAATAAATATTTGTTCACGGATAGAACGCATGTATTCAAATACTGATGAAAAAACAGTAGATAAAGAAAAAAATATCAAATTTAGAACATAAAAAATATTATAATAATAAACGTCATGAATGAGGTGACGCAAAAGAGTTTTTGCTCCAACACATATTAATAAAGATTTCAAAGAGTAAGATTATTTATTGGTAAAAAGTAAGATTATTTATCGAATTGGATTACACATTTAATTAAAATACGGCATAAACTATATTCTGACAGACGGTATACGGTAAACCAAAGCCACGTGTAGTTTGATTTATATGTGTGTATGTTGTAGCCGCATACGAAATACGAATTGTAATTTGTACTATCAACATCTGATTCGACGAAAACGTGCGTTTGTCCTGCTTTCGATGCCAGAAAGTCATGGTTGTCAGAAAGAGACAAATACAGCTCAGAGTTTTATCAACCCCTAACAGAGGGGGTGTACTATCCAGTTGAGTGACAAAACCTCCCACCACTCTAAGGACCGCGCTGACAACGATCGCTTAAATGATTTGACACACCTCTTCAGCCATTCTGATTTCCTAGTAGCTTCGGCTTTCAAAAGCAATCCGGAATGCCTCGTGCATGGGAAGAAGAAGACATTGTGAGTAGGCCTTGTGAATGGTACTCTTTCAGACTATACTTTTCATTGATAGTGTAATCTTTCGTTTGTTTACTAAATTAATAAAATAATTAATTGTGAAATAAATAATTATGTATGTATGTATGATTAACAATATTTTTATCAACCCTTTGATTTATAACAATTATCATATAATTTTGTCAGGCAACTACTATCTTTTTCTTTTCTCGTTGGTCTATAGACCCTAAGTTAATCCAGCACAGGCTCAGCCAGTTTTTCTATGAGCCCAAATGTACTAGCAGAGCATAAATGCAAAGGTGTTAGATATCACGTACATCGTTTCGGTACAAAATGGTGAGAGTCGTCAACGCAGGCTGCCCGCTGCGCCGGCACGAAATGACGTGAAACAGTTTTTGTCAACATCATGATTATAATAAGTACTATAATATGACAGAGTACTTGTTGTTTATCGGCAAAGCGTTGTTGTTGTAGTAAAATTTATTAACTATGTTCCTAAGAAAGACAAATCGTTACTTTGAAAATAGTAAATATGTAATACGTTCATCTCATTAGGTTTTATTATTAAGAGAACGTTAACAATATTCTAGTGTGAATGTCACTCGATTTAAAGTCAAGATACAGTAAAAAACTAGTTACCATCACAATTTATGTAATTTAGTCGCTAGGGCCCTTAACTTATAATTTTTGAACTTTAAAGAAAATAAATTCCATAGAATGTAATGTTTTGACTGCCTCGTTGGCCGAGTGGTCGCAAGTGCGACTGCCGGGCAAGGGGTCTCTGGTTCGATTCCCGGGTCGGGCAAAGTATTACTGGGTTTTTAAAAAATCTCAGTAGTAGCACGGAGTCTGGAATTGTGCCCGGTATATGGCAATAGGCTCACCCCCTACCTATTACATGGGACTCATAACATAAATAGTGAAAAGTGGGTGTTACATTGTACAGTGGCATTAAGTGCCGTAATGTGCACCTCTGCCTACCCCTTCGAGGAAAAAGGCGTGATGTTATGTATGTATGTAATGTTTTTGTTAAGTTTATCCGTTTGGGTCGCTCGTATAAAAAAAGATTTCCGACCTGTTGTACGCCGACAGCTCAAGTGATGTTTTTCTTTAAGTTTGTGAATAGGACTATTACAATTGCTGACATTAGTCGTCTCGATATTTTATATAGTAATAAATAGTAATATTATATTTCTAATTTTCGCCCACTTCTGCTTTGTGGTAGGTGGATGTCATTAATACCACGTTGGTATCTATCCACAACACAATCGTGATGTCTGATGTCGTTTGGCTAAAAGCCACTTCCCCTGTGCATGTTTACCTTATTCTTACGCTGTAATCTTTCGGGCACGAACTCTCAATTCAGACGCAACGTACCAATAATGTCCGTTTTTTGGCACCTTAGTGTACGCGCCGAAAGGGGACTATTAAAAAAATTATATTTCCATCACCAAGGCCATACCTTTATTTAACAAAGGCTGTACCAATCGATGAACAATTTTTGATGTAGCACCCACGACTTGCGACTCCTCCCAATCGTGGCCGGCATTATGCCGTTCCTTATCGGTGTATACCATCATTTGCCAGAGGTATCCCGTCCTAGACTCGCAAAGCTCATAGCTTTTATAGGTATAAAATGAAAAATAAGAGACTGTACAACTGGGTGAAGTCCAGTCGCCAAGCACCACGGAAATTTGACTATAAACTCCTATGTTTGAGCTGTTATACTTGCCTCCAATAATAATAGGAATAGCAAAAGCGCCTATGCACCACGACAATGTGCCTTCGTACAAGGCTATCATTGTGAACGAATTTTTGACCAAACACTCAACAAATAACATCCAGCAACCACCATATTCACCAGATATGGCTCCTGCTGACTTTTTTCTAAACTCAAATTACCATTTCGTGGCACCCGTTTTCAATCGATAGAAGACATATAGGAGAATTCGCGGCGAGAACTGAAATCAATTACGGAAGCAGCGTTTAAAAAATGTTTTGATGAATGAATTATTCGTTGGCGCAAGTGTATCAATTCCAAAGGAGCATACTGTGAACATGATAAAATAAATTTGGATGAATAACAAACATTTTGTGTATTATTGATCTTTTCCCGGGACTTTCTTGACAGAGTAATATGATACAGTAGAAAACTCGTCTCAATTTCAATCCATCGAATTTGGTCGATGATATTGTGTGATATTAATCATTTTTTCATGAACTGTATTTCCGTACTCCCTACATTGTTAAAGTACTACCGCGTTATATTTTTACAAAATTTATAATTATGCGTTACTGAACTGCGAGCAATTATATTTGCTTAAAATGTATGATAGGATATGAAAACATTTTCATATCCTATCATACTAATGATAGGTATGAAACAATAATGTACACTTATTGATTTGTATGCTCACAAAACAAGTAAGATGTGCTACGCCGTCGTAGTAATTCTAACCTTGGGATCTTTAAGTCCTCGTCGCATGACCGCGTCGTAGGCCGTAGCGGCCAAAACGCGGTAGCGGCGTAGTAGACTTAGCGCGAGCCCGTGTTTCTAGTCACGCAAATCCAAGATATTAACCATATTTCACAATAAATATCTATAATGCAAAGAAAAACCATGTGTTAAGTTAGGTTAACCGTCGCGTTTCTTAAAGATTTTCTTATTTTTTCATTTTAAATGATTAAAATACATATTTTTTATTATCTTGGGTATCTATGTGTTTTATAATTTTTTAGTTGTGGGATGTCGACGACTGTTTAAACAATACTCTACTGAGGATAGACGACAGTGGATGTGTAGTAGTAAATCTCGACCACACCATACGACTACTGATCAGAGAGTCAGATTGCTTAGTCAAGATGGGTGTAGATTTACCGATAGTCTGCCACTCTCTCTACGCTAAGAAGAATTACTTCACACTCGTAAATGATTCTTTGCAAGTGAGTTATTGTTGTATATTTTTAACACTGTAATGTATATGTAAAAACGTAGTTACTATTTGTTACGTACTTCATTGTGCCTTTCCTTGCAGTTTCTTCTAGAAGATTACCTTCGCACGGTCCGAAGAGTGAAACTAGAAGTACGACCTCTTTTTCTTCCACAAGTAGTACGTTTGTCTTCTCTTTTACTCCCTGGTCTGCGGTTCGTGGGATGGACAAGCGATGATTGGCGCGAATTTATAGACCGCGCAAATGCAGCTATCAAAAGCTTTGATGTCCTAGTAACTAGAGTCCATGATATATATACCAACCGTATAATATATATGTTAAGTGGAATGCAAGAAGTTACCTTAATTACTTTACCCGGTGAGCATTTTTGATGTAATAATAAGGAGTTCATTTTATTATTTGTGCCAAAACATTTCTATTACATTAATGTTTGACTAAACAAATTATTGATATCAAATAGACATCGTTTTACGAGTTTATGACTTTTTTATATTTAATTTCATGTATCTTAGTATACAGTAGTACGTAGATAAGTCATTTTGTAGCTATTCATTATATTAGGTTTTTATTACCGCTTTTTCTTACTTTCTTACAGAAGAGACTCCTTGGTCTGTAGAAGAATTTATCGAGAATGTAGAAACTGGATGTCGGTAGGTCCTTTTTAACGTTAATAACAACTTATTTCCACATTACTATTAATGCGAATTATTGTATTTTTTCGTATGTTACCTATATACATGTATTTATTCATATAATAAGTGTCAATAAACTCTGTACACGAAAATATAAATGAATGTGTATGTAGTTGGTCTACGTTATTTCAATACCAATAAAATAACGGCATGTAGTTTATGCTCCCCTGGTAGATGTAGAAAAGTCGGAGATACATTGTATCTAGTTCTGTAAGATCCTGTTTGACATGAACTAGAATTACTACACGACATTTTAAAGAATATTTTTATTTTTGCTTATAATGAGGATTAAGAATTTTATTAATTAAAACATTTTAATATTGTCCTAAACTATTCCATATTTTTCGTACTAAACATTAGACCTAAACATTTATATTAATTATTTTGTTTTATGTATACTACTTATGATAATTGAATTTTTTATATACATTTCCGTAAATCCTCGATTGAGCATTGAATTTTGGAATCAACGTCTATAGTATAGATACGTATACTGATACTAAATACATAATACATTATATAAAATAGTAATTAATAATTAATGTAATATCTGTTTATGCTATTATTTGTACTTAGCAACTAAACTTAATTTTTGTTTATTTGAATATTTTAATAGTAACGCGTGCGTTGAGCTAAACCGCAAAAGCCTTATGGTAGAAGAAGCAGTTGAAGAAGTCTTGGACTTAGTAAAGAAAGCAGCCCAGCAAATCAAGCCAACTGAAATCAATCCGGATTTTGAATTCCTCATCGCTGAAGGTGGGTTATAATGACATGTTTTAGGTGTTGTAATAATAAATTGAAATACATTGACGCACAAAGCTTACTGATCTTCTACACGGTAGTTTGCACGAATACAATATTGTTATACATCAAAATATTTCAACTAGAAAAGTGACATAATCCCCAGCAGTAGAATCCCCAAGGGCGTATACAAGTTGTAGACTGAATAAGCAATAGCTGACTGCCTTAGTGAAAGCAGGATAGAGAACATACGAGAAATTGCTCACCACGATAGTCATAGCACAGTTGCTGCAGGGGCCGCACGTTCGTCTGGTTCGACATTCTATAAATTTAAACTAACACTTATTAGACTTGTATAAATTTAACAAATTTAATCAGTAGGGCTTAATAATTAGCGAGCTAATTAATCATCACGTCTTAGGGCTTTTGTTGATAATACAAGCGTACCTTAATTCAGTCTTCTGTCTAGACGTCAAGGTAAAATGTCAATACACGTAGGAAAATGTTGACTAATCTGTGCATATGCGATTGTTGCGATTCCATTACATTTATTTATGCCTTGCGATGTTTTATGCTAATATTTTTTCATAACAGCGTTGCTTATGACTAATCTTTGGATTTATATAATTTAATGTATGAAAATACCAAACAAAACAACATCGATGCGTGTCAATGTTAGTGTACGTTACATATAAAGTTTTTAAAAAATTGCGTACCTTTTCGCGTCATTTTTAAAGTCATAAGCATGAATAAACGAGTACTCGTATACTTCTATCGTTTCTTATATTAAAGCAGTGATATTATTATAACGTTGTTTAAAGGAGATACGCAATGCAAGATGCCATTAAATATCTAAGACTCTTTGCTTTTTAATCGTGCTTAACAGCGCGGCAGTCCAGTGTTGGGCTTATCTTTGTTTATTTAATACAGAAGTAGGTACATCATAACTGGCTTGTAGCCAAGTTGAGTTTAGCAGCTGCCTCTCTGGCCACGGATTCTCCCTCTCTTTCAATAGATGATAATACCTTTGCGAGTAAAAGAGATGGCCGAGAGAGTATGGTCGCACGTCCTCGGGTTCAAAGTCAATAGAAACAGTGTTGTATGTAGGTGTTATCAAATGTTAATAAATTACTTCCAAGTGTATCATGAAGTCCTGGTATTGAACATTGGTTACATTGTTGATCATATAGCTAGTTGTCTTTATTGGCTTGCAAATTCGTTGTCCAATGCGTAGGCTGAAGATGGAGCTCAGTTCCATGGTATCGAAGAGCCCAATGTCTATCAAAAAGATTTTTAAATCAGTACACATACTAATTAATTATGCACATACACATTCTCATATACATACTCACATAATACACATACTTCACAGAGCGAGTGGATGTATGGGCTCCGTACTAACAAGTATTAATTATTTTTAGAGTTGGACTGACAGTGATATGTCTTTTAATTAATTAAAATTACCTAGGATTTTCACATTGATATAGTAGGCCAAAAATTGGTACACTAGGTATTTTATGTCAGCTATAATTTAGGGTACTTAGGGATGAGATATTATTATATGTTGTATCAAATACTGGTTTTATACTTAGATTTTAACTAATTTAGAAAGTTATGAGTTCAAATAAAGTTTTTTATTTCTAACAGTTGTTGTACTTCACTACTTTACCTGACGCAACTCCGCAACCAAATAAATTCTTTAGTACTTATGACATCCTAGTCTACTACTGCTACCTGTAGTTCAAGAATTCAGCTTCGCTACTCCACCTGACATGACACCTCCATACTTATACCTTATTTACATAGGTTTCTTATGTTTATGTTATTTTGGTGCTCAGTATCTTAATGCTCATCACCTATCCTTGTAGAGGTATTTTTAAAATTTATTCGCCACGAAGCAAGCTCTTTAATGTTATGTTATCTTAGTAACAGACTGTTACATTGTAGTTCTTGAAAGTAGTTACGGCTGTCTACGCCTCCATAGGACGTAGCTACAAAATAAATTAGTTAATGAGAAAAGTTATAAAATGATTATAATTGTTTCTAAGTTTTCTTTGTTTAGTAATAGTTTCTTGCAGGATTTCTTTGTTTAGTAATAGTTTGTTGTGTTCTCATTAACTCGTTGTTTTTCTTTATATACCACGATGGTGGCAAAAACGCAAAACATCGATGTTTTTCTGTAAAAATTGTACCTATGAATGACATCTTACTATTTTTCCATACATGCATACTTATTTCCCTTTGAGAAGTGTGATAAAGAAACTATACGAACAAATCATGGGAGTCACTGGGAGTGAGTTATGTATTTCTAATTTATTGAACTATTAAAATATTTTATTACTGATAAAACATCTCTATTCATTTGTCGTGACACAGTGACTTGTTACAGATAATATCAAAGATGTTACATAAGCAAATTGTTACCGTTCACGAGAGTGATGGTCGTTCATTGTCCCCTTGCACTCGTTCTGTAATCAATTGTTCGTTGAATAAGGTTATGTAATTCCAGTGTGTATCGTGTGTGTTCTGCATATATGTGAGTGGGATAGTGTGAACGATCTACTTCCTAGTATTCATCGGGCCCTAGTACCAAGAGAATGCGTCAGTGAACCTGTATGTAGATTTATTTAACATCATCATGCAACACCGCTTTTCAGTAGGTTATAAATAAAATTAAACATTTATGCGGTTAAAAAAGTATGCAGCTACGGTAGTTTTTAAGAACTTGAAACTTAGTATTAATTATGTATGTACTATCTTCTGCCAGCGGCTTCGCCCGCATTCCCGTGAGATAAAAAGTAGTCTATGTGTTATTCCAGAACAAAATAAATATTCTACCCCTGTTCCAAATTTTCCAACAAGGAAACATTTTCATCAAGGCAAGGCACCGAAAAATACAAATTAGGTGTCTTGAAGTCCCTAAACAGAACAGAACTGTTCACAGTTATTTTTTTTTTTAATAAATGCGTTTCGTGTTATTTGAATAAAAATAAGAAGGTTCTTGTTCGTTATAACGAACGTCATAGACGTCGAGTACAGGGACAGGTAGAAACTATGTACCTACACAAAATAGTTTCCTACGTTTTTATTTATTTTTACAAATTGTACACCAGAAAAATATAATACTTAAAAAATATCCGATCACAATGGTGGTTTTATGGCGGCTTACCTTTAGATAGAGTTGTCATAAGAAGTTTTATTTTTTACATCCTATTGTTCTTCTCTGCTTTCATCGTATTTTTGGTTACACCAGCACATGCAGCGCCGATTATATTATTGAAATATAATAAAAACATTTTTTTTATTTTTAAGCCAATTTATTTTTAAGCCAATTTATCTTTAAGCCTACCTTAACTTAAAGGAAATATTAAAATAATAAATCAAATATAATTTTGATAATGAAAAAATAATATTAAATTAAAATCTATAATTATAATAATTCTAGATCAATAATTTTCCGATCCACATCTTTTTCCGGATGTTCTATGAGGAAAGCATATTATGTTTTCCTTTGGTGAATTTTTCTAGTTACTACTGTATATATTACTAGCTTCTCCCGCACGTCTCACCCGCTCTACTCGGCTTCTATTTATCGTAGCATGATGTTTCGTAGCCTATAGCCTTCCACGATAAATAGACTAGGTAATTTACATACAAAGAATTATTAGATTTGGACCAGATATTCATGAGACTAGCACGTTCAAACAAACAAACTGACTCTTTAGCTTTATATAAAAGTATAAGATTAAGAAATACCGTTTATGAATACATACTTGCTACGTACATATTTCCACTATGAACTAGAAGAAAAAATTGTCTTTTGACAGTTTTTAGTACGAAAAACTGTAAAATTTTCAAAGTTATTCCTCAGTTAAAATTGATCTGACGTTGGAAAAATGGGCTCTTTACTTATGGTGATATAGATAGAATCTTTTGCGCGCCTATAGGTACATGACACACTTATGAAGTCAGTAAATGGAAACAAGTAACTTTGTTTCAACTTCAACATCGTGCTGTCGCACTTTTCCTTGAAGTTTCATGCAATATTGGCCACACCCCCACCACTCACGTTGCACTGAAACCTTCCACCCCCATCTCTTCTACCTATATGTGCATTTTCTTTATACATTGATATTTTACTTGTGTATCAGGCACCACTTAGTGGTTTATTGTTTCCTAGTAAGCTTCATGCGGCCAATGCACTTGATTTCAATGCAATTTCTTGGATTGCTGCACTTGAAGCGGCCGGTGATAATCCTATACAGTGTATCTTATAATCGTTAAACTTGATGCTAATCAATTGAATATGTCTTTAAAATGAAATATATAATAAAGTTATTATTTAAATTAAATTTGACCGTCCGATTACAATATAGCATTTTTTATCCTACGACTGCTACAGCATGGCGGAAAAGTATGTGTTTCGAATGAGAGGTTTTTCTTTGGTGCATAACATTGTAGTAAATTGTATAGGGAAATTTTTTACTGCACCTCTATTTCGAAATTAAAGCAAACCAAATTTCTCCACTAATAATAGGTTATTAGTGGAGAAATTTGGTTTGCTTTTTTTGATATGCAGTAGGCTGCATATCAAAAAAATGACTGTACTACAAATTAACTACATATTACTCACCGTAAAACAAAAATACTGATTTGCACACAAATTATTCAATATTACAACGGAATTTCCAAAATAAGTTAGGGTAGGAATTATTAGATTTACTTTTAGTTATAAGGTAGTCATTCAGTAAAACAGTTAAGCTTTAAAGATTTATTTATTTATTTAAATAGGTATACCGACAGCTTCTGTATATTTATTAAGTACTAGCTTCTGCCCGCGACTTCGTACGCGCAATCTCGGTTATTTCCGTTCCCGTTCGTGATTTATAGTAAAAAAAAATAAGTGAAAAAAGTATCCTATGTCCGTCTCCTGGTTCTAAGCTACGTCCCTACCAATTTTCATCCAAATCGATTTAGCCATTCTTGAGTTATAAATAGTGTAACTAACACATTTCTTTTATATATATATATTAGCATTAAATGTTATGAGAGTAACATTAAATATTTAGGCTTATACAGTCGCCAATTACAGGTTAACCAACATTTAATTACCTAAGTGATAATAAAAACTATAGATACAAAAATGAACGAGAACAATAAAATTTTAGTAACTAAAAAAAAGACTACTACTAACGAAATTAACATTCTTATTTTAGGGAACATAAAATTAAAGACTTTAATAGAACTTTAAAAACCTTGGTGATAACATTATTAAACATTTAAAAAAAAGAAAATAAAGCATGTTTCGTAAAAATTTAAATGTTAATAAATATATTAAGCTAAGGATATGAACAATTTGTAAAAATGTAAAAGATCTAACAGTATAGAGGTAGTATAATTGATTTATTTAATGAGCAAATTTAGTGTGCAATTCAGTATTTTTGGTGGTGATTTCGAATATTTTGCTTAAAAAAATGGAATTTACAGTTAAAGTATTAAATAACACCCAATTGTATAGACCTAACTTATTGCATGATATTTCTGAAATTCATTTATTTCCATTGGCACTTTAGAGTCGATCATGATTAGTTCGCTACTTTTACGTATATCCAAAATATAAAATAAATAAATGTATTGCATTTTCGTAAATAAAACAGTATATAAAAGTGTTTTTTTTTTTTAAAGAAAATACATAAATATATAATACTTGTGACTAAATTAAGTGAGCTTAGAGATAAGTATAAACATAATTCAATGTTATCGTGATAGTGTTTACTACTATGTTACTACTGTTAACACCACAGAACATATAAAGCTTTATATGTATGTTCTGTGGTTAACACCAAACACAAAAAATATTTAATTTATGACTAAAGTAATTACAAATAAATATTTTGGTACTAAGAATAATTCTGACTTATTTTAGTACCTTAACAATCCGCATATATTTTTCAAATACTTCGCGCTTTCTTCGTGCTATGAAATAATATATTCTCCATTTTTTGATCTCCTAGTACTTTCCCTCTGTTAAATGACTACAATTGGAGCGCTCTGGCTTAGGTGACCCAGACGGTTCATCGTCAATACGAGTAGTGCAAGCGTTTGCCGATGTAGTAGTGCGAAAATACATACATAACCGTCTGTTCTACGTAGTTGAGCGCAAATACATTCTGCCGTTTATGCTGCCCTGCTGGTATAAACTATTGCATTTATTAGTTGCAATAGTTATTAACGTTTTAAACAATAATTAATAGCTTAAAAACTTGTTAAGCTTTACTACCTTCAGAAGTATGAAAGATTTTCGATAACCATTTTAAAAAGAGACGTCGATTGTATGGTGTAATAGCATACAACAGAGAGCTCAAGTCATACTTCGGTAGTTTAGTTAATTAATTTACTTTTACTTTTGATAGGAATGATAGTAAATATTATTAATACAAAAGAAGTTGCAATGATTTCTCAAAGAGCCGTTAGACCACCACAGATGGGGCCCAGTAGGACTGATGCTCGATGCGGAGCCGCGGATAACTTAACGGGTCGCCGTAGTCTGACTCGAAGAGCAGGTGGAACGGCTTGATTTTTAGTCAGTAAGAGTCTGACACTCCCGCTTCACCCAAGGCGGGAAAAAACATTTTTTATGATTTTCCCCCCTAAAAATGTGTATCATTAGTTGTAAGCTCGGCTATATAATTATTAAATAAACTATTTCATCTCACAAACTTTATTTTTTTTAGATGACAGTCAAGTGGGCAGTGGAGCTACCTCCACCGTTAACGATTCTTCATCAAGTGGTCAACAGGACTGGTCAGCAGTATGGGAATGCTTCGAAAGTCCTCATCGGTTGCTGTCCATGCCCGCTGGTGGACTCTCGAAGAGTATGCAGGTAACTTTATGTACTGCATTTAATATATCACAATAGCATTGTTACTTTGATCTTTCTTATCCATCATAAACAAGTAGCAATTTTGTTTAAATGAAGTCTATTCTTGAACTTGCGCCCTCAAACTTGCTTAGTTTTTATCATTATCTTCGGTTTAAGTACTTCACAAACGAACTGATATTACTTCTTGTTACTTACTGGCGCCCTAGTATTGGAATACTACAAAGTGTGGAGAGATCAATACCAGCTCTTGGAGCACGTAGTACGCAGCCACGCAAGTGATGTTTTCGTTGCTGTGGTACCTACCTATATTTTGATTTCTTGGCAAACATTACAGAATACTTAAAATAAAAGAAAACACCATTAAACCTTTTATATAATATTTTATTAATAATTAAAAGAAAAACAAGTTGTTAAGAACACTGTAAAACATATTTTTATTGATTTCAGGAAATGGTGAAGAATGCAGTGAGTGAGATGCGCCGCTATTACAGTCGAAAAGTGGTTGATGTACTTATAAAGGTCACTAGGAGAACACTTGATCTTATTATCAAACAATTCACTACTGATGTCAACGCTATCGAAGGTGAAAATCGCGTGTTTATATACTCATCTATGAATAATAAGATTCGTACGGCTTGATTTTAAAGTCAAAGTAATTATTTTTCACTCGCTCGCTCGGAGTTTACAGATTTTTAAACACTACTTTTTTAAATGGTAAGATTATATTTAGTTAAACAACCTGAGTATCTTCAAGCGTCGCGTAAATAATTTGCTTAGGGCAGGCATGGCAATCAAATCAATCGCAATGGCAACCGCCACCAATAAATTTATTTAGCGAAATATAATAGCACCTATTCTCGTAATAGGTGACTGTGTGTAATAGAATGTGGCTTTGATCTTAATACTAAAAACAATAATTTTTGTGAAAAAAGTATGAATTGTAACTATTTTTCTCAAGAAACATTCTATTCCTACCTTCAATTCTGATGTCTATTTCCAATCCGGGTGTCCCTAACTCTAAAGACGCCATATCCTTCCATAGTGTTGTACCCATTTCTATCTTCCCATTGTCTTTTTTGACTCTATCATGCAGCTCCTTTAAAGTACTCGTTAGTATATTTTATTATCTGTGCAAGGGTCTTTCCAGTGTTACTTATATTTCTCTTCTTTTGGAATTGTTCGAAGAAGGTGGAGTCAATCAGGTGTGTCCAATGGCCGCTAAAGCAGGGTACTGATACTACTTGATTATAGATTCCAGATAACATACTAGTTTGAGTAGCATATGACATCTTAGAATAGTGTTTCATGATAGGAAGTACAACCCGTGTATTGCAATTCCCTTTTCCTGATTGCCTAAATTAACTTCCCATATCCTCCCTCGTAAACCAATTTGCTTCGTTGGTAATTTGAGCTAGGTTGGACAGATCTTCTTTGTACGTTCCAAAGATTCCATGAAACACAATCTGAGACGCCATTTCCTCTTGCATTTCGCCGCAAATAGTATAACGGAATCCCTTTTGCGCAGCATATTTATATGTATTGTTCTGCCTCTAGCCTTGCTTCGAGCTCCAGATGTGCTGAAGAACGCATAGAATTTCTGTTTATCCTTCTTATGGTAAACTCATGTGATTTCACCATACGCTAGCAAAAATGGTTATAGGGAAAACATTCGAGTTGCTTGTCTTGAAGTAGTAATCAAAATTATATCTGCTACCAAAGTGGTTAATGTGGCTCTTTTAAATTTGTTTCGTATTCTTAGTCAATTCAATGATGTCATCGATGCACGGTACATGTGACATGGAGCGCTTTACTGCTGTTGCGTATTTTTTACGAAACTCCTTCGCTCCTCAGTATATACAACCATGCGGTCATCGGCCCCAAACTTTGCACTAAAGATGACCTACGTGGGAATGACTGTCCTTTAAGAAGTACATGGTGTGCCCCAGACAGGCCGTATTTTTGTCAACTCGAAAGCTTTTGTGCATACCGTCTTATTCGTTATAGGCATGTTATTATGACCAAGAAGAAATTCATTATGGCAAAATATGGCTGTAACATAAACATATAGATATGGCAAAATAACCAACTTACAAATAAATGGCTAAGAAACTAAATAATTTTATCCTAGCCCGCTCTGGAAAACGTCTCCCATTCATCCTTTAATGTGTGGTAGAGAAGTATAGTTTTGTTTACTTCAGCTGTTGAAACTGTGTTTTCAATTCTCGTTCCATAAAACAGGTCTGTAAATCTTTGGAAAACACGAATCCCAACATATTTTTCTTAAATTTAGTTTAATAGTTTATAAAGATACTTATTTATTTATTTATTTATGTACATACATACAACATAAAGGACAACACATACATAAAATTAAAGTACAAAGGTACCACATATTCCTATTGGAATTTCTTCCTGTCGACCTGGAGCAGGAAAAGTAATAATAATATAATGACACAGTGTGTAGTAACAAATAGAAAATTGGGATAGGAAACAGACTTAAAACTAACAGATAAATAACCAAACAACTACATACAATATATAAATAAATATATACAAAATATAAACTATACATATAAATGAAGAAATTTACATATCAGGAGGAAAGGTAGTGTTCTCTCACTCGTTTTTTAAAGATAGCGATAGACTCAGCGTCCCGAATGTTAGGCGGGAGCGCATTCCACAGTCTCACTGCATGAACGGAAAAGGAGTAGGAATAGAAATCGGTATTATGGGGTTCGATTTTAAGATTAGATTTGAGGTGTGAACGAGATAGGACTTCAGGAGGACGAACCAAGGAGAAACGGTCCCGAAGTTAAGCAGGATAGGCAGGGTTGAAGAGGATGTTATATAGGAAGCATAAAATGCGAGTGTTCCTGCGAAGACGGATCGGAAGCCACTTGAGCCTATTGCGGAATACGGAAACATGGTCGTACTTTCTTAAACCAAAGACAAAGCGGATACAAACATTTTGCAATCGCTCAAGTTTATTTAAAAGCTCCTCTGTAGCATCCAAATAGCAAGCATCCGCGTAGTCAATCAGAGGCAGGATTAACGCTTGGACGAGGTGAATCTTAGTCTTCACAGGCAACAGGGTCTGGAGGCGCCTCAGGGAATGAATGGAGAAATAAACCTTCCGACTAACCTCATTCACCTGGACAGTCCAGGACAAATTTGAGTCGATATGCACTCCCAAGTTCTTTGCAGAACCAGTGAATGGAATCACAGTTTTTAATTCATTGAACCGGATATTTCTGTCATTGTTATTTAGAAATCAACAAAAAACAACGCGTTGACAATATCATTTTATCACTACAAGCTCCAAACACAAGGTAGGAAAATCAATACGTGAAAATGTGCACACGATTTTCGCCTTTTCTCCTTAAGGTACTGAGATGAATATAGCAAAATGCTACTTTGGTAGTTGTTACATTTCAATCGCTGAAATTACTTCAATTCTACCTCGTAAGGCTTATGAGTTCCTAGTACATCGCATCGTATTTGAGCGGACTTTGCGGGTTAATGCAGGCGTATTAATAAAGCAATCCATCCACGTGGCAGGGGATGGTAGAATCGCAAGTGAATACCGGATTGCTTTTCATTATTTTCGTTAATAATAAATTGTTACTTAAGTGGAAATCTTGTAGCTTTAGGCCGTTAATAAATGTGCAAATCAGCTTTACGATTCTTTGTTATGTACAATCAAAATTACAACTATATTTCTCAAGAGAGTTGATTAGAGTTAGATATATTTACGACATTAAAAGTTCTTTTAATTTTCTTTTATTTCTTCATCTTATGTTAGCGTTATGTGTATTAAACTTACGAAGGGTCGTCCTTTCTAGGTGATCGCCATGAATGCAATTGACTTGGTATGTTACTTGCTCGACATTTCTTTGGTCCTAGTGACTCGGCCTCTTACTTTGTAGGGGAATAACAATGCTTTTACTCGACGCCTAACAATACTGTTTCAAAGTCACACAAAGATTCTTTGTCATTATACTTCGTAATGGGTATCAATGCGGATGAAGAGTAGGTTTTAAGCTATATGTAATAAACCCTCCTAATATTATCGTTGTAATGTAATTTTTAGCTATTAGGAAATCACGCAATGTTATCAAAAATGTGTTTATTTCTAAGAGATTTGATGGGTATTTTAAATGATCGAAAATACTTATTCTTTAAATAGTTTTTCATAAAGATTTTAATCGGTTAGTCTTAGTATGACTTTTCCAGTCAGACTGAGTCATCCAATACAATAAGACTCCAGGCCACAACATGCCGATTACGATTGCTGTCATAGAAAATTACCGGCCGGTCGCATAAAACTATTGATTGTAAATAAATTAAAGTCAGCACCTTTATAAAACTTATACTTATTTGTGAACCATTTCATGTGGCATTATTTTTATGTTATGTAAATATAAATTTATGTCATAAATCTAAGAAAACGGCGAAAGAAACAACAGTCATTGCAGTTTGTCGCAAGTTTATGTCAGAAACTAAAACTAATGTAGTAGTAACTTGCACAGAATAATGAATTTTATGCTACTAGATAAAAAGACTAGTGTCGTTTAATTCAGATATGGTGCATGTAATGTTTTGAGGCACAAAAACCAAGTTCATCAGTGCTTCAATGTTTTCTGGGCTCCTAGAATATAAAAACGTATTTCGTCCGACGTAGCGGAGAATTTTTCACGCAAGCGCAATGAATTGCGGTCCACGTGAACCGCTCGAGGGCGGGTGGTTTATAAATGTTCTGAAATTCTTAGAATGATTTTTAGTTTGTTTAATGTTGAGTAGATACGGAATACGAAATATCGGGTGGTTAATCATTTTCAAAATAACAATCACGTAATAAGCAAAACAAAATTATTATATAATAGTAATTTGGATTTGACAATCAAAGAATGTCTTAAAAAGAAATACTTTAATCAGTTTTATCCTCTTTATTCACATTGGCTTCACTACGATTATTTTTAATAAGTAATGATTGACTTCTTCATATTAGATATTTTTTTTTAGATTTACAAAAGAAACCGATATTCTTATTACATGCATCTTTAATGATACCTAATGTATCTGTGACACCAACTCTTGATGATATCCAAGAAGTGTTACTTCTGGCTGGGAAGCATATATCTGGCCTTTCGAAAGGCGTAGCTCAATGGACTGGTGGAAAAACATCAAGGGTATGGACAACAATATAATATTATAATTATTGGGAACCATTTACCACACGTAGTACTAAGTCATAAAATACGCAAAGTATTTTACAACTATTTCTGATTGGTTATATTCTATTTTTCTATTCCTGCCTAATAAAATAAATTATTTAAGTGTATAATTACGATTAAAAATATTTTAGTAGTAATATACCTCTAGTTAGTTTCTCATTCTCTTTATAGATTATTGCAACTTATTATATCTATTTTTATTTAAAGGTTAAAATTACTAAAATGGGATTTCTTTTTCTTCCCTATTTGTGATGTTAATTGTTTTGTGCTGTTCGTCACTCTGCACAATGTGTATTTGACTGTGTCAATGTGTTTTTGTCTGCAAATATGTGCTTCCGCGTAATTTATTTTTCATTTGCTGGCACTTGACGTGGCTTTGTAATAATTCATTTTATGCTGTGAATATGCTTCGCGTTCTGGCTTAAATGTATATAGGTGAGCTGGAAGAAAATCGCTCGTCCTCCATCGAACCCGCTGTTAGACGTTGTTACCAAGCTTGACGAACAGGTCCAATCAGTCACGACCCCACCGGCCGCTCTGAAGTCCACGAAAATGGTTGACATGGCCAAGATGAAAAGGAAGAAGCATTACAGACTAGAATCTGAGGAGAAACCACAATTTCCATTCCAACAAAAGAACTTCTATAGTTACGTTATGGAGAACAAGGAAATCATAAAGACCCTGACTTTATTGTCAATGTGTTCAGCAAATGTGAAAACGGTATATTTGATTTTCATTTTTTTTTATTGTGTATGAAATATTTTTTTTACTTTATTTTAAATTTAGTTTTATACATTTTTAAATATTTGATTATAAATAAAGAAACACATTTAAGAATTTTAAAATCAGTAGCCCACCAGTAACGAGAGAAATCCAAGCTACAGGTGGTCAGGGCTCCAGAAGGAAGAGAAATTTCCGGACATTACGCGCCGTGTCCAGTACTGCTTTCTGCATCAGGCCCTTGGCCCAACTATCTAACGCTAGCCTTCTCAAGTGTTAGTCGAGGATTTTAGGAATGAGGCCATTGGCAAATTCAAATTTATTATTTTTTCTCGCAAATTCTACGTTATTACTAGTTGTTTAAATATTGTAGGAAGTGAATACGTTGGTAAAACGTTGGCGCCCATACCATTACTTATGGAAATGTGAGAAAACTCTTCGCCAGCTACTAGCATGGAATTTGAACGATTTTGAAATCTCATTGAAGCGTCACAGTGAACTGGAAGCTAAACTTGAACTAGAACCCGATTTCCTGATCATTGGAAACTGTCTTGCTGTTTCGACTGAGAAATTAAAGTTAGGATTAACAACAGAATTAAAAAGTGAGGCTCATTTCTTATTTAAAAGATACATAAAAATGTATGTACTAAACTTGTTTTGTAAATGCTTTGGTAATTGGTCCATTAGGTAAGTGTGAAAAAGATACTTGGCATCCAATCTCCTATTTAATTTATAGATGGTACACACAGAATAAGTCAGGCTATGCGCAAAAAATATAAGCGAGAAATGGACTACGTTTACGCTATTATGAATGATTTGGACCGTAAATTAGAACGACCTATAAGAGACCTGGATGACGTCAGAACTGTCATGGAAACTCTTAAAAAAATTAGAGAGCAAGAAGTTGATATGGAATTGAGAATAGATCCTGTTGAGGTAACTTAACTGCTTTTTGGAAATATGTTATGATTAACATATGACAATTAGACAACAGATTTTTGTAAATTTAAGTTGGTATTTGAATATTTTAATTTTAGGAAGCATTCAACATAATAACCCGATACGAGTTGCCTGTCAGCAAAGAAGATCTGGAACAGGTTGATAACCTTCGCTACACATGGCAGCAGCTCCAAGCTAGGGCTTTAGCATCACACTTCACATTGTTGAAGATGCAACCCCAGCTTGAGGATGATCTGAACAGTAATTTGGATAAGTTTAGAGAAGATAATTCGGAGTATGTCCATGAATACCGTTATGCGGGTCCAATGCAACCAGGGTTGAGTCCTAGAGAGGCATCAGATCGACTGATATTATTTCAGGTTATTAAATCATAACTGACGTTATTGTAAATATTCACTTATTTACACTTTCTTAATATTTGCCGGTATTTTTATAGAATCGCTTCGACGGTATGTGGCGTAAACTTCAAACTTACCAAAATGGTGAGGAACTTTTCGGTTTACCACACACCGAGTATCCAGAATTGGCTCAAATAAGAAAGGAACTGAACCTTCTGCAGAAACTGTATAAACTATACAATGATGTCATAGACAGAGTCAGCAGTTACTATGATATTCCTTGGGGAGAGGTAAATATTGAAGAAATTAATAATGAGCTCATGGAGTTCCAGAACAGATGTAGGAAATTGCCGAAAGGGTAAGGAAAACTTTACATAAGTCCTGTCTGTGTCTAGATATATTATAATTATATGTAATTTCGTTTACAGACTTAAAGAATGGCCAGCATTCTTCGCTTTAAAGAAGACTATTGATGACTTTAACGACATGTGTCCACTCTTGGAGTTAATGGCTAACAAGGCAATGAAACCACGTCACTGGCAACGTATCATGGAAGTCACCAAATACAATTTTGAATTGGATAACGAAGACTTTTGCTTGAAAAATATTCTAGAAGCCCCTCTTCTAGCTAATAAAGAAGACATTGAGGTACGATATATATTTTACTATTAAATTTTCACACTTTCTATAAGTCATTCTTGTTCTTTGAGTTACGATACAAAAAAATAGTTTATCGTTTTTAGCCGAAAATCGAAATATATTATGTAACTAAACGAATGCATCAAGAATGAATACAAAACACGATTCCCTATGTAAAAGATTACCTATTGACTGCGGTTTTATGGGGCCCAATAAAAATACTTAGTGTCTTGCTTAGGGTCTGCGTTCCAGTAAACCAGGGGTTCAAGAAGTCAATTGAAAAACGTTCTAACTGATAGGTTCCGAACTTTTGATTGCGGCACGTATTACTTGCGCAGTAAGGACGCAGTTCCGATGCTTCAGTTTCAAGGACATTTAAAACTAAGCTCCATTTACATCATGTTTCTCTGGTATCTAGAAGACTGAATTATCGAACCGCCGCGCGCCTGCACGAAATTCTGTCTTCTGGAACGAACTAAAGTAGAAAAGATCACATTACCTATTAAAAAAATATTATTTATTGTTTCAAATATGGTACAAACAGTTCTTATAAATATAATTTAGTCTTACACATTAATGCTTCAACGTAAAGAATTTATTGAGACATTTTTGGAAGAACTCATTTGTTGAATAAAATCACCTCAAAAACAAACACTTCTGCCCACTTCTGCAACGCATTACAAAACTTATTGAAGGGTAGTTGTGTAGTCGACCCAGACAAAGCATTGTCAATTAGAGGAGCCATGTTAACGCAGATCCGGCGAAGTTCTAATTTTAGAACAAGAATTTCAAAATCCATATGTGTACGTTTCTATTTGTGTTATCTGTAAATAATTTAAAATTGGACCTAACAAACCTGGCGTTTTCGTAAATATAAATGCGTGGGACCGTCAATAAATTGTGGAACTTGAATATGACCCCAAGAGTCAAGCCACTGCATTTTGAATATTGCCCGAATGCACTTTTTGTGCGATGAAGATCTCCGGCAATTCAGAAGGGTTTCGCCACACAAGTATACCACATCTTATTACTAAGCATACGTATGCGTGATACACCATAATGGCGGTATGCAAAGGCGTAATATTTTTTACTATTTTTAAGGCAAACAAATTGATATACTTTTTTGAACTTATTTGGAGGTGATTCTTCCATGTAAAATGCTCATCTGGGACACTTCACTCCCAAAAACTTTGCATTACGTACTTGTTCTATATTATTACTGTTAAGTACAACATTAATTCGTACAGATTTACTGTTAAATGTTTGTTTTAATCACATTAGTGTTGGAAATATTTAATTTTAATTGATATCTAACCATTGTACAAAGTCATTTAATGTTTGTCGTATTTTAATGTCAAAGATTCCGAAAGTCCTACTTTACAATAGTGGTGTCATCTGCGAACATTACACGCATACGGATAATACGGAGTCAATATTTACTTCATGGCGGTGTAGCCAGCACTTGTAATTTTAACTAACACGAAACGAATCCTTGTTTAATTCAATAATTCGCATAAAATGCAATTCACTAGCGCGAACTCGTGACCCTAGCGGACATTTAGTACAGAGACGTAACATACTTACATCTTTTACTTTAGTTCGTTTCAATTTACATTCTATGTGATCGATAAATGATGTAATGTCACAAAGATTATGGAATTAATACTATGAGATTTAAACATTAACAGTAATTATTAATAGAAATTCGTATGCTAGAAAAAACAACGTCAGGTAATCAACAGGTCGATACGAATCTTCACATTTATACCGTGAATGCATTTTAACGATACGTTCTTACATTTATGGCGCCCTAGTAACAACATCACCACTACCTATCATTTTCTACCCCAAAGAACGTGGGGTTGATGGTGGTGCGGTTCATAAATTAATAGGTGTTGTGCTGTTGGTTCGTACGTTCAAAGCAAAACTTTTCCTACTTATTAACTAGGATTATGATCCGTATTCTAGTTCCAGAGACTTAAATGATATTTGCAAATATGAACAGTTTGTCGTCATTTCGGTTTTGTGGGAATAAGTTGTAAACTCAATATGTACACTGTTGTGATTATAAATAAATAAATAAATAATAATTCTTAAATGGTTATTATTTGACTTTGACGCCTATAATGAACGAACAGTATATTGACTGCTTTTTTATCTATTTTCATTAACATGCTGACCAAAGTATTAATTAAGCACAGAGTCTGAAATCATGTCCAATATATGGTAATCACTGTTTATTACACGAGACAACATAACTTTTCGCCATTGCATAGATGAAATAATGTATGCATTGGGTTTATACAGAGTGTAGATACCTTGAAAGTATTAACTCGTCGAGTACCGGTTTTATAGACACAATTAAAGAACAATAGGTCGCGGTCACCGGTGACCGCTTGGTGTTTGACAGATTAAATAAATGGTGCAAAACTGTATAATTTATAATTATCTGACAATAAAATTGTTCCACTATAATGTTTACAGTGTTTTAACTTCTAAAATCACTCATTAAAAATTAACTTTATACTAAACTTACTTACTTACTAAACTTTTAAACTTTCATCTTACCCGACTTACACTCCTTATGACGCTACATTCACCACACATTTTCCTACTCTTTCAGTTTAATTGACCTTGTCAGACCGCCTTCCTACAAGTCGCTTGATTTATCGAACATGCGCACATCGGGTATGACCACGTGCATTTGTTGGTGTTCTCAATATAAATAAATCTTCATACAGGAACAACCTTCTTTGTTTACTGTCGCTCTAGTACACGGACTCGGGGATGCGACCCCGTCTAAGGTTATTTGTGTAGGTATACAAAGTTAATAGTAGAGGGGACTGAATGGGTCTAGGTCATACATTCATCAGATACGACCAGTGAAGTGACGTATCGGCCAGAGTTCAGTCCACCATTATTGATTCAAATGAACACTTTTGTGTTTGCATGTTTTAAATGTGATAATTTTCAATAGCGAATTTATAATTTAAAATTTTAAGTTCTTGGCAATTTTAGTATTAAAGAAAATCATTAATATGTTCCTAATTTAAATAAATTTGTACATTTATTACGCACTATACACACATTTTACTTCTTCGTTCTCGGGGCTATTTCCCCAATTATTTTGAGATTGGTACTGTGTTTTAACCAGATTTGACTGGATGTTAGTATTTTACATAAAGCGAAAGCGACTGCCATGATTTTTTTACGCGACTCCTATATGCACCCGTCATAAACAAAGGTCTAATTGGGAGAGGGCGGATATAATTAAAACACTGCACTGAATTACTAATCGCGTATAATAAATGCTCACACTTTAAAAAAAATCTCGTACCCTATATAAATTAACATGTTTTATTTTATTTTAATTATTGAAAGTAGTGTTTAGAACGGTTGAGTAATCACGTATATAAGTTTTATTACATTCTGTGTGATGGTTCTGCGTTAGTAATGTATTATGCCAAAGAGACATCCAGTACCCGAGGGGACGTCAGAAACGAACTTAAATTTAAACTCTTTAAACCTCATGCTTGCCTGGTACACGCTTAACATTCGCGCGGGCGTTGGGAGGGTTCTCAGTTCCGTGTTGGATTTGGTGTTAATTTGGGCGGAGTCGTCCCTCTCTGATTGGTCATGAAAATAAGCGGGTGGTTTAAACAAAATATTTTCGAGTTAGTAGTGTTTATCAAGTTGCAATTTACATACATATTAAATGACTAGAAATAATAAAACTTCAAAAAATTACCAAACACCTAATATGCAAGTAGATATTAATCAAGTAGATTTAGATTAATATTACAATCTTACTACATAAAAATGAGTCGGGTTTTCCTTCCTGATGCTATAACTCCAGCTCTACCCACGAACCGATTTTCACGGTATTGCATTTTTGGAAAGGTCTCGGGCTCCATGAGGTTTATAGTACAGTATGTTACATAAAACGAAGCCATCTGGTGGCAAAACGGAGTTCAACGGGTTTTACTAGTATATTTTAAAAGTACTATCAAATATTATGAAGTAGCAAAATAATATCAAACCAACTTCTGCCAGCAGCTTCACCTGAAATATCAGGCAAATCTATTTCTATGCCTTATCAGTAGTTTTGCAAGAGAGAATAACTAACATTTCCTTAATATGAAATATGTATATCCTCATAATCAATTGCGATTATAATATTATTGCGTAGAAGAAAAAGGCTGGCAACCTCCACCTGTGACTCCTCTTGTGTTGCGGGTGTCCATGGGCGGCGCTGATCGCTTACCATCAGGTGATCTGTCTGCTCGTTAGCCTCCTATTCCATAAAAACCTTTCTTTAAAACTTATGTATAGCATGCTAGTTCGATTCTAGTAATAAAATTTTACAGGCGTACCGATGTTACTTATTTGAAGGAAATTAGTATTTTTGGATGAGATGCGATGGGTAGCAAAGGATCTGGCGATAGTGCGGCACTGCAAAACTTTAATTGTACTGTGGCCTAAGCTAAAATATTGCGTTCGAATCTAAATTTTTTTGATATATTTCCAAATATTGCTTTAGTAAAAATTGGGTATTTCGAAATATTGCTTTAGTAAAAATAAAAGTGATACCTCGCAAGTTATTTAAATATGCTTTTTTAAGAGAAATGAAAATAAATGCAGACTCCTTTGGTGTTATCACAGGTTCCTTTATTACTGATAGATTTTTCCATTTTTCCAAATCGTAAATAAAAGCATTTTCTGTCTACGAAATGATGTAGACCACTGGTTTGGCGTTCGGTTGAACGACGAAACTAGTTCTTAGTATTTCATATTATCCTAGTACTCGTGCGGATTTACAGATTTGCGGATGCCGCAACCGGATATCGTATGCAGCTAATCTAAAATGAATGGTTCAGATAAAAATTAAAACAATGGGTTTTATTATTTACTAGCAAATTTTAATGACTGTCATACAAAAAAAAAAGAAATAAATCACCAAAACTAAACACGACAGAAAATCCAATTTTATTAACAATAATTATCATTTATTCAAATAAAAACTTAAAAAATTACTAAATTAAATGTATACAAGTTAAGATTAAAATTATTTAAAACAAAAACTACTATTTACATAAAGCATCGCAAAATTCATACGCATCGACGTCAATGGGGAAAGTACCTAGAAGGCTGGCTGCATTGCCACGTTGTTATGTCAATGCTTAACCTCTGACCGAGAAATTGATAAAAATTTTATTCGATTTCGTTCTTTAAAATTTGCTGTTTAGTTACCAATTTTAAACTGTCAAACACCAAGCGGTCACCGGTGACCGCGACCTATTGTTCTTTAATTGTGTCTATAAAACCGGTACTCGACGAGTTAATAATTTGTTTTTAATTCCAATTTTTATCTTTTATTATTATGCTATTCGGTATTTTTTTATCAATTAAGTATGACTAACCTTACCCGTCTGGATGTTAGGCTAAAATCAAATTATTAGCATTGAAAATATACTTACTTAGCTCATTCATTATACATATTGCAATTTTTATTTAGCCATTACCTAGAGCTCGACTAGGGCTAGTATTAACCAATTTTAATGTTAAAATAAAAATGTTAGGTACTTAATGATAAGTAGATACAGGTTTTAAATACTTTAATGGTAAGCGAACATTGTTCTGCAGTTTTGTAGGCGTTTCCAACGAATAAGCCTGTTAGCCATGGGCTATGGCAGGGAACTAAATTGCAGTTGTATGCTTGTGTATGGGATCTCTTCGCACAATTTAACTCCTCTAATGACTGCCCTCCTAGTATTTGTGCGGATCGAGTTAGATGCGGATTCCTATGAAAGGTTTACGTTACTGTAAAAATGCAGAAGATATGTCATAAAAATTGTTATATTGATTATTTTGTCTATTCTATTACCAATATCGTGGTTAGTTATTGTTTAATTATTAATTTTTTTTAAATTAAGGATAACAGTAATGCACGTAAATGTGAAAAAAAAAATATTTTCTTTTTTGCGAAGTGAACTAACACTATGTCGGTATATATTTCACAGGACATTTGCATATCTGCAATGAAGGAGAAAGATATAGAAGGGAAATTGAGAGGTGTTACTAATGAATGGTCGGTTCACGAATTAACGTTTCAAACATTTAATAATCGCGGTGAACTGCTACTGCGAGGGGATACTACTGCTGAGACCATCGGACAACTAGAAGACAGCTTGATGATATTGGGCTCCTTGCTTTCTAACCGGTACTGACAATAAACAATAATAAAATTAATTAATATTGTTAAGTTTGTGTTTAAAATTGGACTAATTTGTGGTCCACAGATACAATGCTCCGTTCCGTAAACAAATTCAACAATGGCTATACGATCTTCAGAGTACTAACGAGATTCTTGAAAGATGGCTTCTTGTCCAAAACATGTGGGTTTACCTAGAAGCAGTGTTTGTTGGAGGTGACATCGCCAAACAACTACCAAAAGAAGCTAAAAGATTCTCTAAAATAGACAAGTCCTGGCAAAAAATTATGCAAAGAGCCCATGAAACACCCGGTGTAGTATCCTGTTGTGTGGGTGACGATCTGCTCAGACAGCTGCTTCCACATCTTCAAGAACAGCTAGAACTGTGCCAGAAAAGCCTCAGTGGATATTTAGAACGGAAAAGAACAATGTTCCCAAGATTTTTCTTTGTGTCAGATCCTGCTTTGTTAGAAATTTTGGGTCAAGCGTCAGACTCACATACCATACAAAACCACCTTCTATCTATATTTGATAATATTAGATACGTTAAATTTCATGATATTGGTAAGTTTAAAAAATAATTCTTCTACATACGTCATACGTTCAATATATGTATTTATTCCAACACGTTCTACATAGGTATGCAGATGAACAGTAACATAAGTGGCTATGTACTTATGTATGTTGCCACTTTATTTAATGCTTATATTTGATGACTACGGTTTTCAGAATACAACAAGATGATAGCTATAGTGTCTTCAGAAGGAGAAGAGATAAAACTAGAACGTCCTGTACGAGCCGAGGGTTCTGTGGAGACTTGGCTCACTTCTCTGTTACAATCAGCTCAGGGTAGCTTGCATTCCATCATTAGAAATGCTGTAACAGTACTCAATGATCCAGCATTTAACCTACTTCTCTTTTTAGATAAAATGCCCGCACAGGTTAATATAATTTCTTATAATTGTTATTTATTTACAAAATATTTAATATGCATAAATTTTGGTACGTAAAGAAAACAAAATATATGCATTTTGATAAAATAATGTTATTTTACTCTCCAGATCGGCCTTTTGGGGATTCAGATAATATGGACAAGAGACGCAGAATTAGCATTAATGCAAGCTCGACAAGACAAAAAAATAATGATGGAAACCAACAATAAGTTTTTAGAGTTACTTAATACACTAATCGACCAAACGACAAGGAATTTATTAAAAATTGAAAGAATCAAATTTGAAACTTTGATTACAATTCATGTTCATCAAAGAGATATTTTCGACATGCTGGTGAGTAACTTACATTAAATTCTTTCACTGCCCCTTTTTGCACTGGTATTGATCGAGGGGCGGGGACTTGTGCTTGTGTGTGTGCTGAAGGCACAGACTGGACACTCGGCGAAAGTGAAACTGCCCCGGTTCTCTCATTCTCCATCCAGCTTATATTCTCCTAGTCATTGCCTCCAAAATTATTGATTTGCCGGACCTGGAACAGGGTGTTACACACGAACCTACTATACATTATTGATGGAAATACGGCGTCATGACGCTGTCCATGGGCAATATACAATTTTATTTGTTTTTTTCTAGTATGTCAGTAAGTACCAGAATGATAGCAATGCAAATTAAACCTGTACCTACTTTATACTTAAACTCGATCAATCAATTATTATCGAAAAATAAAACTTATTTGTGTTTTTACCGGTTTTCCAGCATATTTATCAGAAACTTACTAGCGATCTGCCGTCAAATAAGAAGGATCACAGGATACCTCTTCCTGTTAATATTCTCCTAGTGATTGCCTCCATAAATATTGATCTGCTGGCAATCTGCCAGATGCTGGAACTAGTTGTGCTATACAAAACCTGTTATACTTGTGTTGGAGTAGAATTACTACGTCACGGGAAGTGCATGCTGGCGTTTCTGCTCTTCTGGTGTCCAGAGCTATAGGTATTGATTTGACTTTGAAATGTTGTCAGGCCTGTCTCCGTAGTACACTTCTTCCAGCTAATATTATCCTAGTGATTGGTCCCATAAATATTGATCTGCCTCCAATACGCCCGTGTTGCAACTAGTTGTCTTATATGGAACCTACATGTTGATGAAAATGCTACGTCACGGGGACTCTACCGTGCCATTTCTGTTCTTCTAGTGTTCAGAGCTGTAGGTATTGATTTTCCTTTGAAGCGTTGCGCTGTGAGACGTGTCTCCGTAGTAGCATCAAGATATAATTTTAATTGAGGTAGTGGTTTCAGGGAGATTTTAATCAAATGAGTGTATTCATTCATATGGATACTACCTAAACTTCTTTATACATTTTTTTTAGTAACCAATCAGGTATATATGTCTCACCTTTTAATTTCTACTATCGAACAGCTCTTTTACTTCTGCCTGTTTATATTCTCCCAGTGATAGCCTCCACCAATATTGATCAGCCAACAGTATGCTAGTAATGCAACAAGTTGTCATATATCGCACCTATATTTATGAAATTTCTGCGTCACAGGTAATGCACCACGACTTTCTGCTCTTCTGGTGTGTAAAGCTGTGGGTATTGATTTCCCTTTGAAACGTTTTTACTACGGAATACGTGTTTACGTAGTAAAATATAAAAATGCCATATCTGCTCTTCTGGTATGTAGAGCTGTAGGTATTGATTTGCCTTTGGAACGTTAAAATACGTATTTAAATAGTAGAATCATGAAGATTTTTTTCACATTAAATATACTTTTTCATCTTAATGTTCTCCTAGTGATTGCTTCCGTAAATATTGATCTGCTGGCAACCCGCTCCTGTTAGAACGAGTCTTATATATTGAACCTATGTTGTACCATACACCATGCTATTTCTGCTCTTCTGGTGTCTGAAGCTAGTAAGTATTGATTTGCCTCTGGAGCCTCGCAAGACGTGTCCTCGAAAAAAAAAACATTTCTCTCTACTTGTTCTGGCATAATCTATAACATTTGAAAACATGGCTTTATATAGTCTTTCCATAGTCTCTGCCTACCCCCATGGGAGATAGACGTGATATATGTATGCTTTATATTAGAGATGATGAATTGCTTGTTTGCTTTACATTTTTTAACATCTTTTCTCTTAAAAATGTGATTTTATTTCAACATCAACAACTTGCAAACTTATACTAACTTTACTTGCATACTGGTTCATTTTGAACTACAACTTCAAAGTGATCATCGGACCTTTTAGAAATCATTTGCCTCAGTAAAATTTCAACTAGATTCCAAGCAATTAAGTAGTTTATAGTTGTTCCTTACAAATATTTTGAAACTGGGGAAGTCACAACGATAAAAGAACAATAACCATATTCTACTATTAATTGACATGAATGTCGTTTCACAGTCAAACTTCCACATGATCATAATAATTATGTTGTTGCAAACCGTTTAGTTCTTCTAGTTTTTTGCTTACTCCTCTATCTTGGGACCCAATTATGAAGTCTTCATCATCATTCACTTCTCATTTTGAATTGAAGACCTGACCTTTGGGCGTAATCAGTATAATACTTTAACACAGGCGCACCAGAAAAGCTCCATTGAATGTTCCCCTTTGCTTCCCACATAATGCAAAAGAGGATCAGAGGGAAATATTTTTTTTTGTGTGGATCTAGCTGTAGTTAATAAGAGGATATCTCCCAGCTCTTTCATAACCCCTGAAACGTTCCCTGGATGTGTTGCCTCTTTTAGAGAGCTTATTATTTCAGCAGCCATTGGAAGCATTTGGAGGCTATGTGTCATTGCGGACCTCAACTTGTCAAAGAATTTGTCCTCCATAATAAGAAGTATAGCTTGCGCCAGTGGGCCTAAGCTCCGTAGCACCCCGGTTCTTCTTTCTGGGGCAAGAGTTATTCCTCGTAGGAGGGCAATGTGTTGGTTTGTTAACCCATACTGTGAAATGTTTTGTGTGTGGTCCTGTGTTTTAGTGTGAGGAACCAGCTTTCCCTCTCTCGTACGCTTAACGCCGCGTTTAGCTACCGATTAGTGAATAAATAAATTCAATAGCACTAGTGAATAAACGGTTTCTGGGAGTAGAAATATATAAGAAGCGATCAGAGAACCAGCCTCAGGTCGCTTCAATATTCTCCTAGTGATTGCCTCCATAAATATTGATCTGGCAATCTGCCAGATGCTGGAACTAGCTGTGCTATGAGAAACTTATTATACCTGTGTTGGAGTACAATTGCTACGTCACGGGAAGTGCATCCTGGCATTTCTGCTCTTCTGGTATCCCGAGCTATAGGTATTGATTCGACTTTGAAACATTGTCATACCTCTCTCCGTAGTACACTTCTTCCAGATAATACTGTCCTAGTAATTGGTCCCATAAATATTGATCTGCCATCAATCCACCCGTGTTGCAGTTAGTTGTCTTGTATGGAAGCTATGTTGGTGAAATTGCTACGTCACGTAGAATCTACTGTGCCATTTCTGTTCCTCTAGTGTCCGGAGTTGTAGGTATTGATTTGCCTTTGGAGCGGTGCGTTCCGAAACATGTCTCCGTAGCATCAATACCACCTAAACTTCTGTGCACAATATTTTTTAAATTATGTTTAGTTCCAGTCTCCTTGGTATTTTTTGTCTGCAAAAGCCTTTCATTTATTATATCCTAAGTGATATAACGCACGCAAATTGCTAGTATTCGAAGAAAAAACTTAATGAGGATGGACTGGTCTTCTTAATTTTTTAGTATCGTAATACTTCCAACTTATCTTCTCCTGGTCATTCCCTTCATAAATATTGATTCGCCGGTCTTGGAACAGCTGGCACTACGTCACAGGTAAAGCACCATAGAACTAATTATATCGATTGGGTTTGAAAGCGATGTGAGGTCTGCACAGGCACACGTAGTAAATGCTGTAGGTTCTGATACCATTTTCTGCTTATATTCTCCCAGTCATTAGCTCCGTTATTTATTGATTAGTGAATTCTGATGTAGTTTACCTGCACAAATCTGTTCTGATGACATGGAAAGTCACAGGAAACACACCTTATCATTTCTGTTCTTCTAGTATTTGAAACTATGGGTATTGATCTGGTATTGGAACGACACAACGTGACGTTGTGTAATGGTACAGCCATTGATTTTGGCCTAAAGAGAATAACCTAACCTAACATGCGCCTTTGTTTAACACAAACAATTTTCGCAGAATCCAAATAGTTACGTTATAAATAGTAAATTAGTAAATTTAAAAGATCACTTTATTCATATAACCTTTTTGTATATTTCGAAATATTTAATTATAAAAAAAAAACATTACAAAAAAGTTGTGACATAATTATCAGGGAAGGTAACCTTGAAACTGATGAATCTTTGAATGACTGTCATGCTTTCTCTTGCTTATATTCTCCTAGTGTTCCAAAATTATTGAACCGGCAGCCCGTATGGACCTATATACATATGTAAGGATAGTATTGATGGCCACACTGCAGCACTGGAAAACTATCATGCAATTTCTGCTCCTCTGGTATCCAAATACCAGTCTATGCCAAACGCCACTTTATCGCTTGTCTACAAAGAGAGTAGAAAACTAAATGTATGGGGATGACACTGACAAGTGTTTAAATTTACGTCAATTCCATAAAAAATAATTTTCTATTCTACATGTAGACAAGCTGTAAATGGCTACAGCTGCTGATTATTAAACTATCGATATTTATTTGGTCTGGAGACATAAAACCAAGAAGTGTTGTTTGAAAAAGTATTATTAGGTATATGTATATTCATATAATAATTTTTAACTGACGGATTAATTAGATTTTTATTTTCTTACCCTGGAAACTACCCTACTGCGAGCGTGAACGCGGATATGGCTGCCGTATTGAACTAATCTGGGAAATTCGGCATAAATGTATCACTTCGTGTAAAGGTTGACATTGCAATGACATTCCGGTTTGACGGTGCGATTATTCCATTAAGCGGCGATGTGAAAAATCTTGGGTTGCACATTGACAGAAACTTAACCTGTCGTGCTCATGTCACTAATGTCCATCACCAGCGGGTCACGGAGACGTTGCGGGCCCTGTATCAGTTGAGAAACTTCCTTCCGTCTGTCGTCAACCAAGGTAATGATTGTTTAGTCCTTGGTTTTCCCCATAATTGATTACGCTGGTGTGTTACTACGACCTGAATGCAGATGTCATCTATAAACTTGACCGCCTTCCAAATAAATGCATTCGATTAGTTTTTGAACTGCGTGAATGTGACCATGTCTGCATATCGATTGCAACTAAAGTGGTTAACCATACGATACGTCAGTGCAGAGGACAACCGGCGCCAACCACTTTATTCCCTCTTCTTATTTCCCCCACTTCTCCTAGCTATCTATCCTCCTGTTTTCAGTCCATGAGCGCAAACCACATCAAGTATCTTAGTTTCACTACCAGCTAGCTAACAAATAAATCAAGAAATATCGTCTGTTTGTGTAAATGTATTATGATTGTATTTAAATAAAGCTAGTGTTCTATTGAACAAATTACTAACTTAAAACGAAATTTTATACGAATTTACTTGCCATTTTAAACAAAGTGTATCTATTAGTAGATATTAATAAATGTTTACATTTATTGATGTATTGACAAATGATAAAAACGAAAATAAATTACATCCAACCAGTACGTAATAGTTAGTTGTTGTTAGTTATCCATTCCGAAGAGGAATACGTCGAGTTACAGGTCATCCTGTATATCTGTCTGTTGAAATTGTTAACTTATCAGTACCGTAGCTCTGTTAACGAGTGACTCTGATGCTCCTTTCTGCTTATATTCTCCTAGTGATTCCCTCCATAGTTATTGATCTGCGCGCTCTGGAGCTGGTTGATATAAGAACCAATGTGTATTGGTTAGATACTACGTCACAGGAAATGCACCATACCATTTATGTTCCTCTGGTATTTGCTGCTGCCGATATTGATTTGCTTTGAAATAATGTGACGAGCTTTTTGGTGATACTGCAAATACGGTTTCAAGTATGTTAGAATAGAATAGTATAATTGATTTGCATTGAATGTAGGTACATAATATAAGGTCTTAAAATGACCAATATGCTACATAATATACTATTTATTCAATAAAATTTTCCAGTGTCGTCTGAACGTGCGCTCGGCTAACGACTTCGAATGGCTGAAACAATGCAGGTTCTACTTTAAGGAGGATGCTGATAAAACTTGGATATCGGTCACTGATGTTACGTTTACTTACCAAAATGAATACTTGGGTTGCACGGATAGGCTTGTGATTACGCCTCTAACAGACAGGTATACTGTATTTGTTATATTGAAAGAAATTTTATTTTGTTGTGTTTTCTAACAATTCTTTTATATAATTCGCATAATTCCCAACACTGAAGGTTAACTTTCGATTCTTATGATCAAAAGTAAGTTTGCTATCACATATTAATTAGATTCCCAACCAACAACTGCTCTACATCATCACCAGCCTGTAGTCGTCGACTACTGGACACAAGCCTCTTTAATAGCACAGAGCTCGATCTGCGGATATTGTCCATCTCCACTTAGCTGGAGGGCGCCCTCAGGGTACCTTAAACTACATTCGCCTAGATCTGGTCTCCACTATACAACACATCTACCCCAGTGGTTCAATTTTTAGACAAATGTTGCCGGCCCATTGCCACTCCAACTTACTAATCCTTTGGGCTATGTCGACAACTTTGGTTCTCTGTCGGATCTCTACTCTACACCGGGATTTATTTTTACATGGTTAATGTTTTGCACTACCAAGCAATATTATTTTCTAATACATACGTTCGAATCAGGATTTTCAGGCTCGACCCCAAAGTAAGGTGGCATTATCAGAAGCAACATAAATCTTGAATGCGTGCCCAATACCCATTGTAGGCCCAGTATATGGCGATGTTCACGCATTAAGCAAAGCAGAGCTTTTATTTGCCATGAGTGTACCTACCTACAACATCGGGGATGATAAGTGTATTATTATGTTGTTTTATAAGATTTAACAGAAACATCTTGGTTTTACAGGTGCTACATCACGCTCGCTCAAGCCCTTGCTATGAGTATGGGGGGAGCTCCCTGTGGGCCTGCCGGTACCGGTAAGACGGAGACAGTCAAGGACATGGGCAAGACTCTGGCCAAGTACGTCGTAGTTTTCAACTGCTCCGATCAGATGGATTACAGGTTAGTTATTTTTTTGTTCAAACGTAGAACCAGACTAAGTAGTACGTTTACAAACCTATAACATTCATATGCACATCACATACAGACCCAAAACAACAATTTGTGGATCACACAGTTTTTTCTACACTAGTATTTCATCTATGTCGTGAATGCATTTATAAACATACAATTTCAAATACACTCAACGTTGTTACAGTGTATGTAAATTATTGTTCGTTTTTCTTTGTAGTAATCTGCTCTGTACAACGTTATAGCTGTGTGTGTGAACGTTTACTACATCTGAATATTAGATACTGATATTTTGCATACACAACGAACAACATACTCAACAACTGTTGAGTGTATGATGTGATGTGAAATTATTGTTCCGGGTTTGCACCCGCAACAATAATCTGTGAATTACAACGAGCTTTTCCGTGCGGAAATCGAATCTACTAAACCTTTCGCGACAGCAGTACAGTCAGCATAACGGCATAGCTTTGCAGTAAAATTGCCTTGTTTTGTCAATTACTTAACGCAGACACAATATTTAAACTTATTTAAACTATTACTAACAATAAAATAAATTGAAATAATTGTGTATTTGCAGAACGTTGAATTGTTACAAAATATCAGTATCTAATATTAAGATGTAGTAGACGTTCACGCACACAGCTGTAACGTCGTACAGATCAGATTACTACAAAGAAAAACGTGTAGGTACCAATTATGGATCGACATCAGCGGTTCACTCAGATTCTTTGTCAGTCGGCTGATAGCTGGGGCTTAGCTCACAGTCCAAGCTATCAGCTGATCTAGCAAAATAATATGTGTAATATGTAATATTGCTCGATATACACATGTAGTAGTTGACAGACAGTGTTACAGTAGGTATAGTTAACATTATGCAATGTGAGAGGTACTTATAATTTATTATATTTCAATTATTAGTTTAATTGGATAACAAGAGGCTTAGGATGACTATAAATATTTTGTAGATAAAGTAAAAAAAAAATTTTTTTCGGTAGTTCAGACATCAAACCAAGTGCAGCATTTTACCAAAATAATAATTAACTTTAACAAACATTAACATCTTATAAAATAAATAACGTTATGAATTCCAGGGGCTTGGGGCGTATCTATAAAGGTCTGGCTCAATCAGGGTCCTGGGGGTGTTTCGACGAGTTCAACCGAATTGAGCTGCCAGTACTTTCGGTCGCTGCACAGCAGGTTGCAGTAGTGCTTTCTGCTAAAAAAGAAAAGAAAAAGACTTTCGTATTCACCGACGGCGATACTTCGGAAATGTGCCCTGAGTTTGGAATATTCATCACTATGGTACAACTTATTTGCTTTGATACACATTTCTTTACTGTTTGAATAGTTGATCGTTAATTATTGAAATCAATTGAAATGTTCTGCCTCTCGTTAAACTATTAAATGAACCTGAATCACGAGCGCGATTACTGGGTAAATATTTATGGACTCGGTTCTACAAATGAGCAAACTGTGATCCGGTTTCTTGCTTATGAAGGTTTTAGTATGTAGCTCTGAAAAAAAAGGTTGAAGGTTTTAGTTTGAGTCCAATTGACTACACTCGAACCATAACGGGTGGAAAGTGGGTGTAGCGTAATATAAGTATATATTCTGCTTATTATAAATAATTTTGTTTTTTTATAGAATCCTGGATACGCAGGACGCAAAGAGCTACCTGAAAACTTAAAAATTCAATTCCGTACAGTAGCTATGATGGTACCTGATAGGCAGATTATCATCAGGGTGAAGCTAGCGTCTTGTGGCTTCTTAGAAAACATCACTTTAGCCAGAAAATTCTATACGCTTTACAAGCTGTGTGAAGAACAATTGACGAAACAGGTGAGTGTAATGTTCAGTTATTGTTAAAAATAAAAATTATGTTACCTACGCATGTTAATGTTGCTCTATGCGAAGTATATTTACTAAAATTAACTAGATAAATATGAATATATGCTAAGTATGAGAGAGCCATGCATGAATGGGCCGGTTCGACCAGAGTGATACCACTGCCTCACAAAAACCGACGTGGCCGACTCTTGCGTTGTGTTTCGTCGTGTAAATGAGGTTACCGGAGGCCCAATAACCCCCCTTTCCCAATCTCCCCAATCCCCAACAATCGTCATAATCCTAATCCCTAAAAAGCCGGGCGGCAAAGCACTTGTAATGCCTCCGATGTTTCAGGTGTTCAAGGGCAGCACCGATTGCTTACCATGATTATTGATGCGTCTGCTCGTTTAACACCTTATACTATTTAAAAACATACAAAAGACTCATACAATTGTTTGATATGTTGAGTTGAGCTACTCACACATAGAGCGACGATGTGTGTTCTCCCTGTGTATGTATATGTATTCAGGAGCAAACTTCACCCGTTTACAACGTATGCTATCCTAGTAAGTGTAATACGGTACAAGGACTATGTGTATGCGATATAGTTATGAAGTTACCGTATCTGTTTTTATGGAATTATCAGGTAAACGATCAGATGGATCACGTGATGGTACGCAATTGGCGCCGCCCATGGACACCCGAAAGACCAGAGGTGTTACAAGTGCGTTACCGGCCAAACCGTTATCTAACGTATCCCAAATGTAATCTCATCACCTGACACCTGAAATATACCTTATAAACGGTACAGTAAAAGAGGGCCACTTTTTTTTTGAGGATGGGATATCAATTACTTCTCCCGCCTTGGGTTAGGCGAGAGGGAGTATCAGACTCTCACTGACTAAAAACCACCCCGTTCGTACTCCTGCTCTTCGAGCCGCAGCCCCGGCAACCAGTTAGGCCTTCCGCGGCTCCGTATCGGGCACCAGCCCTACTGAGCCCCATCTGTGGAGGTCTGATGGTTCTTTGAGGCGCGCGTGGAACGCAACATGTCGTATGTACGGGTCTGGTTCTGGTCGCTAGAACGGCGGCGAGCTACCCTTGTAGCTGGCGAGCGGGCGGCGGCCCGCAGTCCCGCACTTTCGGTGGCCGGAGATCGCGTGAGGAGGTTCGTTCCCTCACGCGCCCCGCCTCCTCCTTGGCAAGCATAACTGCTTCGCAGAAGGAGACGGCATCCCAGCCCCCTCGCCCCGCACCATGGACTGAACCAGAGCCGAAGCCGAGCCCTGAGTAATTGACGGCCTACGATCAGTAATGGAAAAATAAGTAATAAAATCGATACCACAGCCCACCACTTAAATTTTAAGTTAACGCTTACACTATCACAGTCAAATCTGTAAACTTGTCTAGAAAAATATATATGACTAGCTTTTACCTGCGGCTTTCTCCGCGTATTCCTGTTTTATCTTATGGGAGCATATAATCGAGATAAAAATCATCTAAGATAAATAATAGTGTAAAGGATAAATGTATTTGTTTACTTAACATCGAACACTAACTTTTTCAGGTACATTATGATTTCGGTCTCCGTAACATTCTCTCCGTACTTCGAACCCTCGGTGCAGTAAAGCGAGTCAACAATAAGGACAACGAGAGTACTATTGTCATGAGAGTCCTTCGAGATATGAATCTTTCCAAGCTGATAGATGAAGATGAACCTCTTTTCATATCTTTGGTAGCAGACTTGTTCCCGAATCAAGCACTAGAGAAAACTACGTATAATGACTTGGAGGAAGCAATTAAGAAGCAAGTTGATTTACTTGGCCTCATTTCTCATCCACCTTGGTTGTTGAAGATTATTCAGGTACCATAACATTCCAATAATTTAATATAATTTTAATTTTATAGCCTGTTACTAGCGACCCACCCCGGCTTCACACGGGTGCAATATGTATGTATTATACATATAAAGCTTCCTTAGGAATCACTTTATCTATTTAAAAAAACTGCATCAAAATCTGTTGCGCAGTTTTAAAGATCTAAGCATACATAGGGACAGACGGACGGCGGATAGCGACTTTCTTTTCTACTATGTAGTGATTAAGAGGCTGCTTGTGCTTGCTTTAGGATTATCTATTTAGAATGAAATCTTAGGTTATAATCTATAAATTTAAATATATTATTAGATAAAATCATAATTACGAGTATGCAAAAATACATTTTCAAGTAAAAAGGCAATTTTTTTATACTTGATAGGTCGACGTTTGGCCACTATCTCGCCTGGTGGTAAGCGATGATGTGGCCGACGATGATGGAGCATGCCTACCAATGAGCAACCTGTTCATTCGGGACTAATACAATTACTTAAACGAAACATAATGCATATTTCAGCTGTACGAGACTCAGCGCGTACGTCATGGTATAATGACGCTGGGGCCTCCGGGCGCCGGTAAGACAACCTGCATACAGACTCTCATGAGCGCTCTCACTGAAATTGAGAACCCGCACAGGTAATTCATTTGTTTTACAAAATAATATTAAAATTACAGTTGGTTCCATAGTCTGCCTACCCCCATAGGAGACAGGCGTGAGGTTGTGTACGTATTTATGTATAAAAATGACTTATTTCATCAACGTAGTAATTACTTACCATATGTCAAAACATGCGTCACGAACAGTCGAAACTATTTAACTCCATGTAGGACATGAACTCCTAGTAGCTCACAACAAACTTTTCGATAAAGTTTGCACATTACGCAGCGGCAAATTGAAAATTTGCGAAATACGTTTTTATTACTTATTATGTTTTCGGCTTAATGACGTAACTGTTTGACGATGAACTTGACTAGTACTTTTTGTAAACTACGCTTTAATTTCATACGTATTAAGGAAAAGGTTCCTTAAAGAGTATTTTCAATTGTGAATTTTATTTATCTTGTTTTTAATAATATGGACTAACCTTATGTGACCTAGTCTTATGTGGACCTGGCTTTGTACTAAAACAAGAACAAAAAGAGATGGATAGTATTCCTTAAATTTTCGGTGACCTAATTGCGATCCCAACCACCTACCAAGTGCGAACATTAGGGCAACTTTTCTATAGAGGGTTGCACGATGATGACTAATGACTCATACAAACATAAAAACAACTTTCATAACTTACAAATTACATTATATTTTATCATAAAAATTAGTACGGTACCTTAGTATCAACCCTCCGAAGTTCTATGGATAGTTAGCTACATCCAGTCATATAAAAGTAAAATACATTTTCTTATCTTCATATATGAATAATAAAAACTTTCCTTTTTATTAACCAAATAGACTTATGAGGATGAGCATAAACTGTAAAGTAATAAATTGACGTCTTATTTCAAATGTGTATGTCAACATAAGTGTATTGAACTTATATTACGTCTAGAAATAGGATTTGGATCACCTTCTTATCTGTCATTATAACAGTTCATCTTCTGAAATTAAATACTTACCATGACCAACGTATTCAAACACAACTAACCGTATTAACTGGTGTAATAACTTATGAATCTGTCTCTTTCTTTATGACCTTGTGAAAGAGGAACAGTTAGTTTCATCCCATTCCTTAGTTCTCTTAGTATTTACTGCCGACCTGGTACTGTGAATTTTTTAGCTCCGTATAGATCAATACTCTGCTGGTCTGCCCTACTTAATATACTACAGACACAGATTTAATAAGTTCGTTTCCATAGTTACAGTATTGTGTCTATGGTCTACAAACACATTTAAGGCGTAGTTTTTTATAATTATAAATTAGTATATGAATCAATTAGGAACACTTTCATTATAGATCTGGTAGTATAACGTGTTTCTTTAACGACATCATTTTAGCTGCATAACAGTGCCCCGTTTCGAAAATGTTGTTACCACAATAAACAGCTAAATAGATAAAATAAATACAAAATTAAACAATAAATTGTGAAGGTGAAAATTGGAATACATTGTTCTTTCCATTAGAATGTAATTGTATGTCATCCATAGTACCCACAATTTATGTCATAAATGGGTATATTTAAAGTGATTTGGATATGAAGTGGCACAGCGACAAAACTGTTATGTCGACTGACCGGCGTCGATTTAACTTACTAATATACAAGCAATTACACATCGTTATCAGAAAATTAACTTTGAAATATGTTAGTAATTTAATAATGTTTCATTTCTATGTCATAATTTGTTATGATTCACATAAATACCCTTAGAAAACTGCTATTCATTGTCATAAATTCGCTTTATTGAAGACAGTACGAAATGTAACATATACCAAAGTTCACAATGTGCTCACAGTAGGTGAACGGAAGTGAACTTAACTCCTGTGAAATAAAGAAGAATTTGGCTTAGCAATCAAGCAGACTTAGTGTCATTTTGAAATCACGAGACCACCTCGTAGTATTCATGGGCTCCTAGTATTTTACCACGTATATTAGCGGACTTCGACTAGTTCACGCAAGCGCACTGAGCAATCTTGATGCCCACGTGACACCAAGGCTGAGGGTTAGCGTTGTGAAAAACTTGTACAGTAACTAGAATAATGATACGAGTCGGTTTAATTTTAATACTTACGCAATACGCAAATTAAAAATATAAGAAACAGACATAGAAAAAAACTGAGACTAAATTGTTATCTTTTGCGTTTTAAATTTAAACCTTTCTTTAAACGTCTATCTATTATATTATATTATCCATCTGGGATTCGGGATATGTTTGTAACATTATAGTCTTTTCTCATATGTCAGATTCATTAGGAGTTTAGGATTTCACATTATCTCCTGTACCAAAGGATTGCAGAGCGAAAAGGTACACTTGTAATGTTGCTGCGCTATCTGGCGCTGAAATTGTGTACCGCCAACAGGTGGATGTTCAAAATTTCGTTGAAGAATTGGTGTTCCTCTCGCGCATTCCTCGATTACCGATTGATCTTCCATTTGAATGTAAGCGCCTGTTTACTAAAAAACGAAATAGGTTCAAGAGGCAAATAAAAAAAATTATTGATAATTTTAGTAAAATGTTTGATATAGAATTTCAAATCTTAATACAGTTGCTGTTTTTCTAAACTTGAAAACGGCAATTGTATAATACAAATATTATGTTTATTTTAAATTAATCAATTAACTATTAATGGTGATAGAAGAAGAAAATAAAAATACATTTATCAACCAAACCTTCCCGCGATTGTACTCTAAAACGGCAACATACGACCAAAGGTCACACATATATTTATTTATCAGAGTCAGCCACATATAACGTCGCAGCAACGTGTGGTTGTGGTTGATTTCATGTTAGATCATAATAATATAATAAGTGTCGATTGTTATGAGATTTAGCACTCATTACAATTTGATTCGTTGGCAAACTACGAGTACGATTTTACTTAGGACTAAGATCCTAGGTTCATTACTCCAGTTAACGACAAAGTAATTTAATATCTTGAATTGATTTTTTTTCAGTACCAATTTTTTAGCTACTAGCTGCGTGCTCGCGGCTTTATACACGCATCCGATATTTTTTTTTTCCATACAACCCATCTGACAATTCACAAATAAGAAAGAATTATCCAATTTGGTAGTCATTCTGAAGTTATGCACTACATACATTTTGGGGGTTCATTAACATAGATTAGATTTTCATCATCTGGATTGTGTTACAGCATGTCATTGTATAAATGCAACAATTTGTTTTAGCTCATAGTACGTACTTATGTGGCGCGTTTATACATCGGCACACGCAAGCGCATCATGCTTCCTCATACTGGGCTCTGCCTGACTACTGTAGTTAATTATAAGAACAAGGATTATCGCTTTGTACTTTTAAGTATTATTCATCACATTCTTAAAATATTTTTTTATTTAATGCAGTTATAAAAAGTAGGAAAATAATTTTGTTGGTATTTAATTTAAAGCCTGTTTGACGCTGAATGAATCGTTGTCAAGGCAACTGTTGCACACCACGTGCACAGAAGGAAGTATTGATCCATCTAGAACGTACAGAATTTGCAGTACTAGGGTTTCATGAGAGCTAAGAGCATCTGGCATCAGTTCCTGCTACTTAAAAGAAACTTGTGTATAATAAATATCCTGTGCACTACGAGACTGAGAGATCAGATTGGAGAAACCTAAATAATTACCTTATTTAATTTTCTAGCCTGCATTCATATTTTGATAATATAATTTTTTTATGTATCATACTTATTAGCGATCACATAGAGACTTGACTTTAATTAATTTAACGACTTAGCACTCATGCACCTAGTGCTGTTATGTTAGCTAATTAAGCCTTACAGTGTAGTTATTTATTATACTTAAAGGCGGTGGAGGTGTAGATATTTGCATTTGTATTAAACACTATTCGGTTACATCGTTTTGTTCACTTAGATCTGCACCAAGTGCACTGCAGTTAAAGTAACGCAGCAGCAGCTTACCACGTGGTCTGGACATAGTTATTGATCCATACAGACGTTACAGAATTTCCAATACTAGGATTTCATAAAGATGTAGGGTTACACTATTCTGACGTAGTAACTGCGTATTGATGCTGGCCCGGCTATAGGCCTTGAACTTGCAGACGCTCTGTCTGCATCGTATCATAGCAACCAAGTATTGGTCCACGTGCTCTGCAGATAGTATTGATCCAAACAGCTACTATGAAATTTGCAGTACTAGGTTTCATAAAGCACTAAGAGGTAAACAGGAATCAGGAGTGTTGTTAAAAACAGGAAAGAAGAATACCTAAATGTACACACAGAGCAAGCGGTTATAATATGTAACTTGTTTTATGTAATGTAATATATGTACTAGTATTTGTGCAAGCGACTTTTGTTTAAGGAGGTGAGAATTTAAATGGTAAAGTAGGGGTAGTATACATAGCCGCGGAGGACTTAACGTGTTGCCAAATCTCTGACGCGAAGAGCAGGAGTCGGAATGTGGTAGTTTTTAGTCAGTAAGAGTCTGCCACTCCCTCTCGCCTCACCCAAGGTGATAGAAGTCATTGGATGTTCACCACTCAAAAAAAGGGTACATGCATAGAGTACATTGTTGCTATCTCAACTCTTCTAACGGGAATCGCAAGAGCCGACTAAGGATTGCACATTTAACCGAGGCCGAGCAGCAGCACTCTCTGATAACTAGAACCTACTTGTGTTCTCCAACCCAGGACAAGTGTCAGTAGAGTTGACAAACTCATCTACCATTATCTAGAATGTACCAGGACCGATATACTTTTGTAAGACCTTATATTATGTACCTACATTAAATGCAAATAAATTATTCTATTCTATTCAATCTTCTCTATAGAAGACGTCAAAGTTTATTACCAAACAGTCTGCTGAGAACTATTGATTAATGTGTGGGTATGTGTGAAGTAAGACTAAAGTGAATACTCAAAAAAATCCGTCATGTAGGTACTTGTTAAGGAAAATTCGTAGTGTACGTAGAACTCTGAATAATCTTAATTTCATTAAGGGATTAATGAATACAGATGAACCAATAGTGGTCTGCCAGAATAGTAGCATGTAATTTTTTGTCTCTGCCCACTATAATGGAAGATTGTTGTCAACAATGTTGTCCATTTTCTTTAGTTTAGTAAATACTTTATATTGTTCAATGTCTCCGGGGGTCACCCGGGCCTGGTGATCTGTAACACAGGTTATACCTTTAACAGACACCAGTCTCTTAATTGTAACATATTATTTAATTTGTATCCGAAGAGTATTTTTGAGAAAATAAATAAAGATTGATTGATGATTGCTTATTTTTGTCATGACTAACGTAACGTTTTGTCAGTAGTTTTTTTATGAGGGTCGTAAATCATCCAATTACTTTTCCCGTCTGGGGTTAGGTGAGACGAAGTGTCATACTCTTACTGACTAAAAACCAACCTGTTCCTGCTCTTGCTCTTCAAGCCTGAGCCCCGGCAACCCGTTAGGTCTTCCGTGGCTCAGTATCGGGCATCAGCCCTACTTTGCCCCATCTGTGGTGGTCTGATGGCTCATTGAAGCGCACGGAACGCGACGCGCCGTACGCACGCCTGGTTCTGTCGGGCGGTGGGCTACCCTTGCTCCGCAAACCCGCACTTGCGACGGTAGGAAATAGTCGGGAGATCTCCGACTCCCGTAGTGTCTCCCGCGATGGCTGGGTCGTGAGGAGGTTCGTTCCCTCACGCGACCCATCTACTCCTTGGCTAGCATGATTGCTTCGCAGAATGAGCAGACGGCTTCCCAGTCCCCCGCGCTCCGCATCATGGCCTGAACCAGAGCCGGACTCGAGTCATCATACCACCACAGATGAAGCCCAGTAGGGCTGATGCTTATACGGAACGGATTGCCGGGGCTCCCGCTCAAAGTGTAAAAGTAGCGACGGGGTGCTTTTTAGTTAGTAAGAGACTGACACTCCCTCTCGCCTTACGTGAGGTGGGAGACGGCATTGGATGATTGTACCCCAAGAAAAAAAACAAGACGATGTATATTAACTCGTCGAGTACCGGTTTTATAGACACAATTAAAGAACAATAGGTCGCGGTCACCGGTGACCGCTTGGTGTTTGACAGATTAAGAGAGATACATATTGATTCATTATGTTAAACACTTTTACAGGAAGTATATTTAATAAAAAGTAAATCTAAATAGTCTGTAATGCTGTGTTGTAAATATTGATAACCTGGACGTTAGCGGTTAACATTACTTATAACATTTGTCGGTTCACCTTAGATCTTCTCCTTAGGTTAATAAGTGCTTACTTGTAATTATTCTTAAGAAAAAAACTTTAATCGATGGTATTAATATGGAATGTTAAAGCACTCTCAATCGTCAAGCATGCACGGAAAGATTGACAAATGTAGATGAACTAAAAGAGGTTTATCAGAATCATATCTTTTCGCTTTTCGTCATCTCATCTTTCCTCAAAAGCCAACAGGCGTGACGATATGTATGTATGTTTGTAGTATTACATTTTATGAAATAGTAGGGCTCTAGATCGCAGGCGTAAAATGCATCGTTGCCATGGTAATCCTAGTGGCGTGCCACGTGCTTTGAGGATAGTATTGATCCATCCATGCGTTATGAAATGTGCAGGACCAGGTCGTCATGAAACACTAAGAGTAACTTAGAAATGAAACATTTAACTTCATAGATATTGTATGTAACTACACGTACACGTACTGCACGTCTTGACGGGACAGCTAAGTGGAATGCATTTGTGGCTATACCTATTCTTGCTGTGGGTGTCGTAAAAGGCGACATAGGGACGATACATTTAACAAAGAAAGAGATGAGCTGCGATCTCTTCGCGTCTTGACCTTCATCCTTACGAACTGTTATCGCCAAGCCGCTTACCAAACGGGAAGGCAATGGTAATCCGCTCTTGCGAAAGAGGCCCATAGGTAATCAGTGACGGCCGGCTGTTGATGGTAATAGGCATTTTCCTAATAAAATATTGAAGGCAAAAAAAAAACAATAATATTTCACAGTACTTCTCAACGCACCTAAACAATTTGCTGCACCTACTACAATGGTTTTGAAAACTGCAGTATCAATTTCTAAAAATAGAATTAACAGTTTACAATACTTTGTCACAAAAATATTAAATAAGTCTGATGTACTTAAATAATTTATAGTATTTATGTATAATTCAATAATATTTACTAACCACAGTCGGTTTTTTCAATAACCTTAAATGTACTTACAAACAGTTGTAAACTTTACTTACGATGAAATAAGGCTGAATTTATCTGCACCTTTTCTGTTGTCTAACTTTCATGTCACTTTGGATTTACGGGTTGTTGTAACGTAATTGTAATGAAAAGTTTTGTTTAATCCTTGAATAAATACATTAGAGAAACAGGTAAATGCTTTTAGACCGTCAGTTTTTGTTATAACCAGCCTGTATATGTTTATTTTTGGTAATATTGGTACTCTTAATGCAGAGTTCCATTCAGCTCTTACTGGATGATGATACCCTGGTCTCGAGTGCATTTATGCATGAATTAATACAATCGCGCTGTAATTCTTTGTTGCATTCAACTGACCTGAGTTAAGAAGTAGCAAGAAGAACTATCAAAAGCTCAATGTTAATAGTTTGGTTATTAATAGTACTTTATATTTTAATTTATTTTGGTTTATTTTGGAACTGTTTCGTTGACATCACTTTTTTATATAATGACATCTTCCAAGTAGCATTAAGTCGGTTTCAGTACTTAATATGTGAGTTTATCTTATATCACTACATAGTATAAAACACAGTCGCAATTCGCCGTCTGTCTATACCTGTGTACGCTTAGATCTTTAAAACCACGCAACGGATTTTGATGCGGTTTTTTTAATAGATAGAGTGATTCATAAGTAAGGTTAATATGTACAATACATACATATTGCACCCGTGCGAAGCCGGGGCGGGTCGCTAGTTTATAATAAAAATATAATAAATGTTAATTCAATTTCTTGAAACTAGGTTACCTAATAGAAAATACGAAAATATTAAAACCGAGGTAAATACTATAACTAACACAGTTATTAGCTTCCACGTAATCGATGGAATGGTTATGTACTGTTATACAGATACTACCTGATATCTTTTGGTTAAGCATTTTTTCAACCTAGCTTTCTTTATGCCTGTCGTCGATATTTAAAATTTACTTATATTATTTACAATATTACATTTTCACATTTAAAACACTTTAAATATTTTACTTACTTCAAAAACATCCTGTTTAAATAATCACTTAAATTGTTAAATTGAATAGTAGACAACTACTAACACAAGGTGGTTATGGAGACAGTTGATTGACGGGTATATTTATTTATTTATTTTTTCACCTAAAGTTAATTGTTACAGAAACGTTGGGTTGCATTGAGAAAAGATATATACAAAAATATAGGTACACTGAAATTATTAGCTTTACTTAAAGAAGTGCATTGCAGTAGGGACGCGCTACTTCTTAACTTTGTAGCGCAGTGGAAATGCACTGTGAGAATGCATGCTACTAGGAAGTAAGAAAGTCTAGGATGTTGAAACCTTTTCAGTCTAGTCGAAGCCACACACACTAGTAGAAGTTTCAACACACTCTTGCATTTAAGGTCATACAAAACTGTTGCAACCCATTTTATACTGTTGGAGAGAGCAGGATGTCAATAGTGTTCTGTTTGTGTTTGACCTACATTAGTAGCAGAAAATTTATGAATGGTCGCTTCAACACCTATATTTTATTTATAGGTCCAATGAATGAGGCTATCATTGCGTCCCTTTCAGTACGCTATGATTCATGAAGCCATCCGCACGCTTGCTGAAACTAATATTTATGTTTATGAGTTGCGCAAGTTTTTTAAATTGTAAATGGTCAATATGTCATTTACAACTCGCATGAACTGGGTTCAAAAGTTATCAAAAATAAAAAGTACATTTACCATAATTATTATTTTAGAATGTATGACTAAAAATTAAATGACACAAAGAAGTTGGCTGCGAGCATTATTTGAGTCAGGTGATAAGTGATAATGGTGATTTTCAGCAACGTTATTTTAGATAAAGAAATATATATGTAGGGGGCAATGAAACTGACTTGTGTATTTGTGCATGTATAAAAGTTTTTTTTTCTAAATATATCATATTTTTCATTCACAGAGAAATGCGGATGAACCCAAAAGCTATAACAGCTGCACAGATGTTTGGTCGGTTAGATGTCGCTACAAATGACTGGACCGATGGAATTTTCTCAGCTCTTTGGCGTAAAACACTCAAGATTCGTACCGGAGAACATATTTGGTTAGTGCTAGACGGTCCGGTTGACAGTATATGGATTGAAAATCTGAACTCAGTTCTTGATGACAACAAAACTTTAACTTTGGCGAATGGGGACCGCCTGACGATGTCACCAACTTCAAAAATTATATTTGAACCAGAAAATATTGACAACGCCTCTCCTGCTACCGTCTCTAGAAATGGCATGGTGTACATGAGTTCTTCAGGATTAACTTGGGACCCAGGTAATAAGATATTTTATTTTATTTATTGTATGTGTAAATATAGACGAAATTAAAACTCATGGACTTATTAAAATAATTTCTTATTTCTAGTGCTGCGAGCTTGGCTCAAGACTAGATCGCCCCGAGAGAATGAAATTTACACTCCACTTTTTGAAGAGACATTCCCCATCACTTACACATGGTGCACACAAAACCTCACATTTAGCATGCGCGTACTACAGAGTAATATTATAGCACAAATATTGAACCTTTTGGAAGGATTAGTACCTCCACAAATAGTTGAATCTGAAGACCCCTCAGGCAATAAGTCGCTTAATGGTGACGAGGACGAGGAAGAAAAAGATAAAGGCGAGGAAATCATATTATTCACCCCCGAGCACCTTCATAAAGTATACGTGTTTAGTCTCATTTGGGGATTTGGATCACTATTAGAGACAGAAGATAGAACACGATTTGATGGTTACTTACGAAAAAAGTTTAGTGAAACTTTAGACTTCCCGAAACATCCAAACAATAAACCATGTATTGCGTTTGATTTTTATGTAAAACATCCTGGTAAGTGGGAATTGTGGGATGATTTGATGATGCATTACCAGTATCCTGATACAGCAACACCTGACTACGCGAGCATACTTGTTCCAATCGTCGATAATGTTAGAATTAATTACTTGATTCACTGTATCGCTAAACAAGGAAAAGCAGTGCTTTTATTAGGAGAGCAAGGTTCTGCTAAAACTGTGATGATGAAGGCGTATATGAAGAATTGCAACCCCGAACAATTTATTGGACGCTCGTTTAACTTTTCATCAGCAACAAGCCCTTATCAGTTCCAAAAAACTATAGAAAGCTATGTTGAAAAACGCAGTGGCATGACATTTGGGCCGCCCGGCGGAAAGAAAATGCTGGTTTTTATAGATGACATAAACTTACCTCAGATAAATGAATGGGGTGATCAAATAACAAATGAAATTGTAAGGCAGACTATGAGTATGAATGGTTTTTATAGTCTTGAGAAACCTGGCGACTTCACTACTGTTATAGATATACTGTTTCTTGCTGCTATGGGTCAACCCGGTATGTCAAACATTGGTAGAGACTATTTTTCATATGCTTAATTTCTTTGTTACTAATTTTATATTTATTTTTTCCAGGTGGTGGAAGAAACGACATCCCAGCTCGATTAAAACGACAATTTTCTATATTCAACTGTCCATTGCCAAATAATGATTCAATTGATAAAATCTTCAAAGTCATTGGTGAAGGTCATTATAACGCAAAACGAGGCTTTACTGCCGAAGTCAGATCACTGATAAAGAAAGTTATACCTTTAACAAGAGAACTCTGGGCGAGGACTAGAGCTAACTTGTTGCCTACACCTGCCAAGTTTCACTATGTATTCTCTTTGAGGGACCTCTCTAGAGTATGGCAAGGTATGGTGGGGACACTACCTACGGTGATAGAGTCTGAAAAATGTTTGATGCTTTTGTGGAAACACGAATTTTCGAGAGTATTTTCCGACCGATTCACGCATGAAAAGGACAAGGAGTGGTTCAACAAAGCTATGTATGATATCACTGAAGAGGTGCTCGGTACAGAATATAAGAAGATGATGCTAGATAAAGAACCTGTGTTCGTAGATTTTATGAGGTAAGTAATGTTTTGTGCTAATCAAAATAAGTAAAAATATGATCAATTTTTGTATTGAACAAACTCTTACTACACGCATGCGCCAACATAAATCACGTGGTGTTGATGTACTTGTATTGTGAATTTAAAACCAGACTTAGGATTGGTGAAAACTTTCTCTTTCGGTGCTGTACTACACGGAAAGTGAAATTGTTTACTACCACAACTACACGTGGACATCAGTGTGCGAAATCAGATTTTAATGTTCGGTTCTTCGTTCTTATGCTTTCTCAGTAACTGACACTATGAATAACGATCGGAAACTATTCATTACATACATACATAAATGTACAAGTTTATACCATACTTCTGATCCCAGCTGCACCCTCGTAGTTTCATGATCTCTTGGTAACAGTAGGCATTGGGTATTGATTTGAATTCCACTGAACGTAGCACCTTGCCAGCTTGGCTTATGGCCTTAAGCATTAACTACTGACATATTATCGGCGCAATGTTGGAATCAGCAAACATGTATATGAAACTAAAATAATAAACTACGTTAATGTTCTATGAAATAGGAAAAATTACTGAACGTGTTGTCCAGTAATTTTTCTGTTTTATATGATTTTCGGTCATATTTTTAAATAACTAAATTTTAGTCCTAAGAAGTAATAAGTAATAAGCAGAGTGTAACTTACTTCATGTAAGATGTAACGCAGAGCGTTGCACTTAAATAAGAAATATTTTTATTACTGTATTTCAATACAATATATCAAATAATGACAATAATATATCAAATATCTGTAACGATTTTGTACCAAATTAATAAAAACTAAAAATCGTCGGAAATTGTAATTAATGTTTATCACCACAAGCCGGAACTATCTACGAAGGTTTTGCTGTGTGCAAATTCTAAGGTACACCTACCTTCGTGCACCGTATGCATTCTTAGTAGCAGAAACTAAAAATAACGATCGGAAACCATCCCCCTTCTTGGTGATATCAACATTATAAAGGACGTCATGTTAGCTACAACTGTAGAGCTTTATGGTTTCTTGGTAAAAGGAACGTGGATATTGATTTGGTTTTGCACATTGCAGCAACGGTTCCACAACGTCGATCGATAACTATGACGTTGATACTGTTTGTATTAGATAAAATTATATCTGCAACATGTATGACGTCAGTATAAATACACCATTGCATCTTCATGGTGTCTTGGTAACTGACGGCGCGGTTATTGATCTGATTCACGTACAGCAGCAGCAGAATTGCTAGCACATAAAGCTACATCATTTTGACAATTTTTTTTCAATAGATTGTCGACTTTATTACAGATCCATAAAATCGAAAATCATTTGAAAGATGATGAATTCTACCTACCATTGTCAATATTCCATTTCCCAAACACACTTCCCCAGCTTCATGTTCTCTTTGTAACAGAGGGTTAAGTTATTGATTGATATTTTGATGCAGCAGTAAACCTACAAAGGACCTTATGGTACGTTTGTTATTGCATTGCAGTAAGTGGAGATATTTTGGAATAAAGTCAGTCACGGAGCAGACATAGTGCATTTGTAAGACCGATAAATAAGATGGATGCTAGGAAAGCCTATAAAGGTCTATTGTCAGCCACGCTTTGTAGTTTTTGCCTTATTCGTAGTTGTAACTCTTTTGGGACAGCGTTTTATTTTCTCTGTTATGCAAATTAAATAAGATAACTTAATGCCTGGCTTGCCTTTCGGTTCATACAGGTTTTAAAGTCCTACAAATATGGGGATCCTTGCCAATTGAGATTTTCATAAATATTAACAAGAAAAGATAAGAGATAGAAAAGAGAAGAGATGGAAAAATTAAAAGATGAGTCAATAACCATTAGATTCGAAATTACAAATATGCAACATAGCCTAAGCAACATAACTTTCCTAAGTATATTTATTACCAATACAGGTATGGTTAAGTGATCTTAGCGGGCGTTCTAGGACCCTTGCCAGGAACACCAGTACGGCATGACACCAAAAGAGGTAGTAGCTAACTGAATACTAAATATCCGAGAACCAAGCATGAGTAGTTCTGTCCAGGATTAGCAAACATTAGGTTCACATCTGTAAGTAAATAAATATACAGTAGCTAAAATCCTACATTGCTTGGAATCGCCAGGAAAATAAATAGGTAGGTAATATGAAAGTTTTTATGTTAACTGTAATTTTATTTTATTTATTTATTTTTATTTATTTTACACTTTATTGTACACCATAAAAACATACATAGAAAATAAACATAAAATAATGTGTACAATGGGCGGTCTTATCGCAGAATGCGATTTCTTCCAGACAACCTTTGGATGGAGCCAGTATTCAGGAGTTGGAAAAAGGGGGTCATCTAGTGTACAATAATTAAAACAATACATACAATATAATACTATCTATACCTACATACCAAATAAATAATATATAAAATTAAAATAGATATAACTATTATAAATATGAGAGTGTGTTTGTATATGTGTTTGAGTGTGCGCGCGCGCGTGTGTGAGTGTGTGTGTGTGTGTGTGTGTTTATGTGTTTCCATGCTAGGTAGGAATTTTTAAAAATAATGACTAAAGAGAGAGGTAATGTTCTTTAACTAGATTTTTAAACTGAGGTAGAGTTTGAACACGCCTCACCGTAATCGGCAAGGCATTCCACAACCGAGCCGCTTTAATAGTGAAGGAATTACCAAAAAAGGAAGTGGAGTGCAAACTAATATTTAAATTAAGATTGTCTGATGATCTCAATAACCTTGTATGTGTGTCACCAAGGAACTGAAAACGTTCTTTTAGATAAAAAGGGGCAGCAGGATTGAAGAGTATATTGTAAAGTAATGATAGAATATGAGCATTCCGGCGAAGTCGAATAGGTAGCCATTTACATTTTTTTCGAAAATCTGAAACGTGGTCATATTTGCGCAGTCCAAATATAAACCTGATTGATAGATTTTGAAGACGCTCAAGCTTATCTAATTGTTCCTGGGTGAGATCGAGATAGCTGGCATCAGCATAGTCGAGGATCGGCAGAAGAAGAGATTGAGCAAGGGCAATTTTTGTATAAGTTGGCAAAAAAATCTGGAGACGCCTCAGGGAGCCCGCCGAGGCAAAAACTTTCCGGCTAACCTCCTGCAGTTGTTTGGACCAGGACAGCGTATTGTCAACGTAAATCCCCAAGTTTTTTACATCTCGAGAATAAAGATTTTTTGTAGTAAGCAAAGAAACCTGGGGTAAAGTTGACCAGTCAATTTTAGAGACAGACCTTGAACTACCGACGATAGTCACTTGCGTCTTTGACGGATTTATTTGCAGTCCGAAATTACTGCTCCACTCAACAAGCGAAGCTTGAGTATAAACTATTTTACTACTTAATCTTACTTTGTAGTATATTGTAATCGTTCAGTTCTTTTCAATATTAACTAAAGTATCTTCAACAGATGTCTAAAAAGAAAGGAAGAAAAAACATTTATTCGGCAGTAGGCACGCACACAGATACAAAAAAAAATACAAAATTAAAAAAGAAAAGAACAAATCAATATACATATTTATATAGATATGGAAAGAAACACAAAGAAACGCCAGAGTATAACAACACAGTGACAATAAAATAATAACAAAGTATTTTTTTTTTTATTAAAACGTTGCCCCACACTTGGATTTTCTCCTGTGTCGTGGGTGCTTTTACAAACATACAATATCACATACACATGACACCCAGACCCGGAACAATCTGTGGATCACTTAAAGAGTTGTTCCGTGCGGAAATCGAACCTGCGACACGTTGCGCGGCAGCCAGCCCAGCCGCAGCGCCAACCGTACAGTCTACAATTAAAAATTAATAAAAACAAGATATAAATAAATAACATTTAACGGTGCGTGCCCTTGCCAAAAGGTCCTCCATCTCAGCATTAAGTTGAGCGTACATGCCCAACGCTGATTTTCAGATGGCACCCTGCAGTGACTCACGGACGGCGGTAAGCCGCTCAATAAGGAAAAAGAAATGAAATATAAAGCATACAAATAAAAGGAGGAAAGCCCTTTTATTCGACTGTTTGTATTTGTCTCTCCGCTCCCTTTTAAAAAATATACCGTTCTGTCTGTTCCATAGACACCGAGTCAGGATCGAAATGGAATCACAGAAAAATCGAGTACAACCCTTAAAATATTACTGGTATAAACAATGTTCTAATATATTCCGACACATTTTACGTAATGTAGTCGAGTGGCGGCGGTGTTATGACGGCTGCTGATGGAAGGTCTAATCTTCAATGGTTCCATGTATTGTCGCGCTAAACAGCCGACATTATAACTAGAGGTAAAGTTTAAATAAATGTTATTATTCATTAAATCTTATTTAAACTGTCAAACACCAAGCGGTCACCGGTGACCGCAACCTATTGTTCTTTAATTGTGTCTATAAATACGGTACTCGACGAGTTAAATACTTTCAAAGATGTGTAAACATTGTCTTGTGTATGGAGTAGCGACTTTAAAGTTCTTTATAAATCTAAACAACTTGAGAAAATTTGCATGTAAAACAGAGATAACTTTCTCTATTTTTTATAGTAAACTTTAATTTATTTTAACTAAATTATTACATTATTGATAAGAATTTATATTAAATAAATATCTACAACTTAAAATATTTAAAAATATATTATATTATATATATATTTACAACTTAAAAAAATATCTTTAGGCATCAAAGAAAAAAAAATTCTCGTCAATTTTTGCATTCTAATTTGATAACAGTCCTAATATTTTAATGTCTATCAATTTGTTTAGGAAGTACCTACAGGAAAACGCTGGTTTCCATACAAGGATAAGTTTAATAAGATTATCAAGTACCTAATTAAATAAGTATAATAGAGAGTGCGATCCTAAAAAGAAATAACCGAAACACAAAGTAACAAAACTTAATAACTGAGAAAAGCATTTCAACTACAGCAACTCAATGGCGTTGGCGTATTCGTGTCTAATGCAGGCAACAACTACGCAGGTTTCATTAACACTTAGCGCTGTAACTACACAAAAAATCAGGATAAAAGTTACCAAAATAAATTCGTGAATTCAAATTATGCCAACTTTTATTCATCTGCTATGCCAATTCTATCATTTTGACGACAAATATCTAAATTACGATGAAAACTCCTAGTCCCAGTCGGCCTTGGAAGAAGTGAATTAAAGGTCCCCGTGAATAAGTACATTTACGTTGTGAGTAAAAGTAAACCTTAAAGCTATATTTACTACGCTTCAAATTGGTGAACTACTGAACTTTGATATCCTACGTTTCACTTGTAGCTGTTTTCACAATACGACCATTGAAGCGTCATGTGCTCCTGGTATTTAGAATCAAAATCGCGCCGAGTTAATATTTTCACGCAGGCGCATTGGACTGCAGTCCACGTGTACCGAACACGTGGTTTAGTCGGTCGGAGGGCAACGAGCCATTACAGGGTTAGCGTTCGTTTTGTTTTGCGCCTTGTTTTTAAATAGTAAGTAGTAGTAGTAATTCATTTCATAATAATTTTTATGTTTTGTTGAATGATACTTAAATTAAATTGTTGTATAAGTTCAGTTACAAACATGTCGAATATTTTATACTGTATAGTGAATTTCCTATTGGCAAATATTTTTAGTTAATTCCCGCCAGCGCCCTCTGTGTCAATTTTTAGCGCGGCATTACTTCAACTAAATGTTGTTTTTCAGTACATATGTATACATGATTTACATATTGAGTAGATCAACTTGATCTAGCATCATAAATCGACGTAATCTTACTATTTTCTACGTTCTATATTAGTTACGACATTTTAGATCCAACACTAGCTACTTTTGACCCAAGTCAAAAACTCCGCCCACAATCGTACATTATTCGTCCATTGACGGGCAAAATGCTTCTTTAGCGGTATGTTGTCCTGGTACACAGGATGTTTGAGAGGACAACTTTGTTTCAAAAACCACGCCCCCTTACTGGGTACAACTTTCTGTAGTCATGAAATAGATGTGTTGTCTTGTAATATTTGTGCCTAGCAATGAGCAGGTGGTTTTAGACGTTTCCTGAATCCACGCCCCATTGGTTTTGCATTTTAGAACTAAAAGGACTCTGTGATTTTATAGGTACTGAGCACTGACCTGTTGAGAAAATTTTAGTATAGGGGGGGAGTAACAACCTTTTTTGCATGTTTCGACTCCCTAGTGCACACTGGATTTATTCGTGCATTATATAATGAGTTGCTCCTTGCGAGAATCAAACTCATTACATGTTACACGGTAGCCAGTTGCCCAGCCACCGCACCAACTGTGCAATCGTAATAACTAGACTTTGTCATACCAATTTCACTTCATCTAAATTTAAGAAGATCCCAAAAAATCTGAAATTCTAATTAAAAAGTACAATAAAATTTTCAAAAATAACCATGGCTAAAAGGCCTTATATGCCCTTTAATTCACGATGTTTTAAAAGTATGCTCACCCATCTACAAACCACCTCGTCTAACGTGGCTTAACTCATAATTTGTTGATTTGCAGATTTGCATGACTGCTACTCTACAAAGCGTTTGATTTGGCATCCAGTAGTCAGTAATAGTTTATATTTCAATATTTTTTTTAAATGTAGGTTTTTATTTGTGTGCCCAACAATGCCTCATCGTTCGCAATGCCATCTGTTTTGAAACTGGAAGTACTACGTTACCCGACTGTAGTAGACTTCTCGTCTTTGCTTATTGTCCAGTGAAAAAGTGGCTCTGATTATCCTCATCTGGGTAGATGGTGCTTTGTATGATGTTGAGTTTATATCATGAAATATTATCCAATCAATACGCAGTTATGTATAATTTATAAAATGTATAAAAATGCGTCAACAAAAGTGAAATTGTGGAATGGGAGCTCTTCGCGGAAATTCGTAGCGTGAACAAAATTCTAGGAATTTCCCTCGTCCCATCAGTTTTACTATCATTCAGTTAGAATTATGATTTGTACGCAGGTCGTGTACAAATACGAGTGACTACAATTATGTACATACGAGTATTTAGTAATTGGCAAAGCTTTTCACGGTCGTACTATAAAACTAGTCTACATTATTTTATGCAACTGATTCAACTGACAGCCGTATTTGAAGTTAATACCACAATAATATACGTCTTTTCGCTCTGGTTTATTTTTAAAGTGGTCTGCGAGTTGTCGAATTAATAAGTCATACTTTGGTTTGGGCATTAATATGAATATTATCTTTTTCTTTATAGAGATGCTCCGGAACCTACGGGCGAAGAAGGCGAAGATACCGATATGGAGTTACCTAAAGTATATGAGCCTGTGTTTGACTATGCCGAACTCCGCGAACGTTTAGACATGTTTCTCGCTCAGTTTAATGAAATGGTGCGGGGTTCAGGCATGGATCTAGTATTCTTTCCTGATGCTATGCTTCATTTAGTAAAAATATCCCGAGTTATAAGACACCCAAGAGGAAATGTAATGCTAGTAGGCGTCGGTGGCTCTGGAAAGCAATCGTTGACCAAGTTATCTACATTTATAGCCGGATATCGTTCATTCCAAATAGCATTGACTAGGTCTTATAACGTTAGCAACTTTCTTGAAGATCTGAAGCTACTTTACAGATCATGTGGCGTTCAAGGAAAAGGTACTACATTCATATTCACAGATTTAGATATTAAAGAGGAAGGATTTTTGGAGTATTTGAATAATATTCTTTCGTCTGGCGTTATATCAAATTTATTTACTAAAGACGAGCAACAAGAAATTATTTCTGAGTTAACACCAATCATGAAACGTGAAAATCAGAAGAGAACGTTAACTAACGAACTTGTGATGGAATATTTTTTGAACAGAACTTGTCAAAATCTTCATGTTGTATTGTGTTTCTCACCGGTAAGTAAAGCACGAGTTATTAGAATCGCTAACCTCTTTGCCTCACCTGTCAAAGTACCCCGATATATAGGTCGCATTCAAAGTTAAGCGTTTTGAACGTGACCTACTTTAGAACTGCGTACATAACTTTTGACCAAATATTAACTCAAAATAATATCTATGATGATTGATGTGTAAGTATGTTCCGTGTTTCAATTGTACTTTGTAGATGCGTTTGTAAGATTATTAAAGTTCTGATTAACATAATTTTCAGGTCAGTGAAGCCTTCAGATACCGTGCTATGCGTTTCCCTGCCCTTATTTCTGGATGTACAATAGATTGGTTTCAGCCTTGGCCTAAAGATGCGTTAGTTTCAGTAGCTGATCACTTTTTAGCAGAATTTGAAATTGAATGTACAAAAGAAGTTAAAAAAGAACTTGTAACTGTTTTGGGAACAATACAAGATGTGGTATCCCAGGTCTCAGTAGAATATTATCAAAGGTTTAGACGTTCTTCTCATGTCACGCCTAAATCATACCTCAATTTTATCGGGGGATATAAAACAATTTATCAGATGAAGCAGAAAGAATTAGGCGATGGTGCTTTGAGAATGGACACTGGCTTAGAAAAACTACGAGAAGCATCCATATCAGTGGAAGTTTTGAAAAAAGATTTGGCTGTAATGGAGCAAGATTTAGCTTTAGCTTCAGAAAAAGCAGGCCGTGTATTGGCTGAAGTAACAGATAGAGCAATGCAAGCTGAAATTGTTAAAAATCAAGTGCAAATTGTAAAAGAAAAAGCAGAAGCACTAGTCGCGTATATTGCTGAGGAAAAAGAAAAAGCTGAAATAAAGTTAGAAGCTGCAAAACCGGCTTTGGAAGAAGCTGAAGCCGCCTTGAATACTATAAAACCGGCTCATATAGCTACAGTCCGAAAGTTGGGTAGGCCTCCACATCTTATTATGAGAATTATGGACTGTGTACTTATTTTATTTCAACGAAGACTGCATCCTGTTATATCCGATACAGCAGCACCTTGTCCTAAACCGTCTTGGGCTGAATCTCTAAAGGTAAAGTATAATAATTAATTGCTAATCAATGTATACTGAATGTTAAACTCATTGTCTTATATTTGCACAAGTAATACAAGTGATATTTTAATGTTGCTTGTAGATGATGGCCAGTACTACATTTTTATTACAACTGCAAAACTATCCTAAAGATATTATAAATAATGAAATGGTGGAACACTTAACTCCTTATTTTGAAATGGAAGATTACAATATGGACACAGCGAAACGAGTTTGCGGTGATGTTGCTGGTTTATTATCATGGACTAAAGCCATGGCTTTCTTCCATAGCGTTAATAAGGAAGTTTTACCTTTAAAAGCAAATCTGTTGTTGCAAGAAGCGAGGTTAAAGGTAAGCAGGGGATGTAATATTGTTTGTAACAAATAATAATAACACGCCTATTATCCCTGAAGGGGTAGGCTGAGGTGCACATTACGGCACTTAAAGCTACTTTACGATATAACACCCACTTTTCACTATTTATGTTATGAGTCCCCATGCAATAGGGGATGAGCCTATTGCCATATACCGGGCATAATTTCAGACTCAGTGCTACTTACTACAAGGAAATCTTTTAAAAAACCCAGTAATATTTTGCCCGTCCCGGGAATCTAAACCGAGACCCCTTACCCGGTAGTCGCTCTTGCGACCATTAGGCCAATGAGGCAGTCAATTAATATCTAATTTCATATTACAGGTAGCCATGGATGACTTAGCATCGGCCGAAAGACAATTGGAAGAACGAGAAATGTCTCTAAGAAAAGTTAAAGAGCAATATGAATCAGCAGTTTCTGAAAAACAGCAATTAACAGATGCAGCTAATGTATGCTTACGAAAAATGACAGCTGCTACAGCGCTCATAAATGGTTTAGGTGGTGAAAAGATAAGATGGACCCAACAAAGTAAAGACTTTAAAGAACAACTTGGTAGACTTGTGGGTGATGTGGTTTTAGCAACTGGATTTTTGTCATATTGCGGACCTTACAACCAGGAATTCAGAAATAGTTTACTTAGTACGTGGATGGGAATACTAACTAGTAAACAAATACCTGTCACACAAGATTTGAATATTACCAATATGTTAGTGGAAAGTGCTACTATATCAGAATGGACTCTACAAGGTCTACCAAATGATGAGTTGTCAGTTCAGAATGCTTTAATTGTAACAAAATCAAGTTCTTATCCACTGTTAGTCGATCCTCAAAGTCAAGGTAAGAATTGGATCAAAAATAAAGAAAGTTCAAATGAACTTCAGATTACATCTCTGAATCACAAATACTTCAGAACTCACTTGGAAGATAGTTTATCCCTTGGACGACCTCTTCTGATAGAAGACGTTGCTGTAGAATTGGATCCAGTTATCGATAATGTTCTAGAAAAGAATTTTATTAAATCAGGTTCCATTGAAAAGGTAATTGTTGGTGATAAAGAATGTGACGTAATGCCAGGATTTATGCTGTACATAACAACTAAACTTCCTAATCCTGCTTATTCACCTGAAATTAGTGCTAAAACATCTATAATTGATTTTACTGTAACTATGCGGGGTTTAGAAGATCAGCTGCTCGGTAGAGTAATATTAATGGAGAAGTCTGATTTAGAGGAAGAAAGAGTTGCCTTATTTGAGTCTGTTATGAAAAACCAAAGGAGTATGAAAGAACTAGAAAGCAATTTACTTTGTCGATTAACTTCATCTGAAGGTTCATTAGTAGACGATGAAGCTTTAATTCAAGTATTACAAATTACCAAAACGACAGCTGAAGAAGTAAATGAAAAACTCAAAGTAGCAGAAGTAACAGAGAAAAAAATTGTTAAAGCTCGAGAAGAGTTCAGAGCAGTAGCAGCCAGAGGGTCTATCCTATACTTTTTAATCGTTGAAATGAGTAATGTAAATCTCATGTACCAGAATTCGTTGAAACAATTTTTAAACATATTTGACAACTCTATCACTAAGTCCACAAAAAGTAATGTTACCGAAGAACGAATAAATATTATACTTAAATACTTGACGCATGAAGTATGGGCGTTTACACTGCGCAGTTTATACGAAAGACATAAGGCCTTATTTACCTTAATGTTGGGGATGAAAATTGATTGTCAACGTGGTTTGATATCTCATGATGAATTTATGGCATTCATCAAAGGTGGAGCATCGTTAGATTTAAACGCTGTCACTCCTAAACCTTTTAGGTGGATCCTGGATATCACTTGGTTGAATCTTGTTGAAATTAGTAAATTAAAAACTTTTAATGATGTCCTTACTAGGGTAAGTATCATTTTACTTAATTAGGTAGATCGGAACTCCTGCAAAAACTCTTTATTAAACATAGTAATTGTATTTAGATAACGTCCAATGAGAAAGAGTGGCGAGTGTGGTATGAAAAGGCAAAGCCTGAAGAAGAACCGTTTCCTAGTGGTTATCAAGAAAGTCTTGATGTATTCAGAAAACTATTACTTATTAGGTCTTGGAGTCCTGATAGAACCTTATCACAAGCAAGAAAGTATATTGTTGGTAAGTATTTAACTACAATTTTTAGAGACGTAAGTAGTACGTCGGAAGTATAGTTCTTTTATCTCACGAGCGCGAGTGAGCTATAGTTGTAGTTGTAGTGCGTATAGACACGCGCGCTTGTGTGCGTAACTCACAGCAAACTCATTCATTGGCATGCCGGTCAAAACTGGGCGTTCCCGAGCGTACGCAAACAAAAATAATGTGCGTGTACGTTTACCTACACAAGTATGGTGCACCCGCGCTCGTGAGATATAACATCTATGTTTAATGAATTTTTAAAGTATAGTTAATTTTTAAATTATAAAATCGTTTCAGATTCTCTGGGGCCTGAATATGGTGAAGGATGTATTCTCAACTTAGAAACCACCTGGGAGGAATCAGAACCACGAACACCACTTATATGTATTTTGTCTATAGGATCTGATCCATCAGCGCAAATAGCAGCTCTAGCGAAAGCTAAAGAAATCGGTACGTTGATAACGCTACAAAATGAATATATTTATAGTTCTATCTATATTTTAAATATACCTAGAACTAAATTCATTATTGTTTTTGGCTTAATCACGTAACTTTTAGACGAGGAACCCGACTAGTTTCAACTCATCTACATGTAACAGCTAGACAGTCGCCGCGTCATGCGTCGTGGTATGTTGCTCATGAATATGATCCTCTAGTATGGCCTTGAAACCAGTCGAGTTACGTGAGTAAGCCGAAAACATAAGATGTTTTTGTTAAGGATTTAGAATAAATATATGTCTTACGAAAGTTATAATATATACATAGAACTATTTATACGTTATTGAATTATACAATGAATACGTATTTTTACAGTATTGAAATCTGTATCCATGGGACAAGGTCAAGAAATAGTGGCGAGGCAAATGATCTCTGATTCAATGAATGAAGGAGGTTGGGTACTGCTACAGAATATACACCTGTCACTTCCATTCTGCGTTGAAGCTATGGATGCACTTATTGAAACTGAGCATATTCAGGAATCGTTTAGACTTTGGCTTACGACAGAAGTTCATACTGAATTTCCGATAGGCCTACTACAAATGGCAATAAAGTTCACTAACGAACCTCCACAAGGGATCAGAGCTAGTATGAAAAGGACATATCAGAATATAACACAAGATTCTCTAGATTATTCTTCATTGTCACAGTGGCCACCACTTCTTTACGCTGTAGCCTTTTTACACACTATTGTACAAGAAAGAAGGAAGTTTGGTCCTTTGGGCTGGAACATCCCGTACGAATTCAATCAATCTGATTATGCTTCCAGTGTTCAATTTGTCCAAAACCATTTAGATGAAATCGATCCTAAGAAAGGTATATCATGGCCCACAATATGCTATATGCTTGGAGAGGTCATGTATGGTGGTCGAGTTACTGACGACTTTGATAAACGCTTATTAACTACATTCACCAACGTGTGGTTTTGTGATGTTTTGTTACGTCCTGGTTTCGAATTTTACAAAGGTTATAAAGTACCTACTACAAGGAATATTCAAGGATATGTAGATTATATTAATCAGCTACCTCTCACTGACACACCTGAAGTATTTGGTCTGCACGGCAATGCCGATATCACATATCAGATAAATAGTGCTAAGGATATTTTGGATACCATCTTAAGTGTACAACCAAAAGAAGGTGGAAGTCAAGGCGGGGAGACCAGAGAAAGCATCGTGTACCGTTTGGCTGAAGATATGTTAGAAAAGTTACCAAAACAATACATTAGCTTTGAAGTCAGAGAAGCACTTCAAAAGATGGGCGCATTTCTCCCTATGAATATATTTTTGAGGTGATATTTATCTTTTCACTTTAATGAAGTAATAACCTAGTCTAAATAATAATACAATCTTTAATCTCAATATTTACAGGCAAGAAATTGACAGAATACAAAAGGTTGTGAAGACTGTCAGTTCAACATTGTGTGATTTGAAATTAGCTATAGATGGTACCATCGTAATGAGTCAAGGGTTAAGAGAATCTTTAGATGCTATGTACGATGCTCGTATCCCACAAAAATGGCTGAAGGTAAATTCTATTCAATGAGTATACTCATACAGTTTGTATAATAATCATGTTTATTAACTATTATTATATGTTATAGTATTTTAATAGATATAGGATATCCTTCAATTGATGGCAATTGGAGAGAGGATGTGAAAAACCTTAACTTTAAAATAAACTTCCTTCATCCAATTTACAGGTGTCTTGGGAGTCTGCAACACTCGGTTTCTGGTACACGGAATTGTTGGAACGGGAACAGCAATACAGAGTTTGGCTTCGAAATGGAAGACCTTCAGCGTTTTGGATGACGGGATTCTTCAATCCTCAGGGCTTCCTTACAGCAATGAGACAGGTAATCGTTCATGTAATAGAAATATGTATTTTCATATAAATTACTGTATTGTCTAATAGTTTGGAGATTGATAGCCGATTCAGACAAGTTACTAACGGCCGTAATTTATTACCAATTCAATCCAAAATCTGTGCATAAAGATCGGTAGGTCGATCGATAGGTAATTAATTACAGCCGTTAGTACCTTTTGCCTGAATCGGCATGAACGGCGATTTCATTCTCAGTTATTTTGATGGTTACACACAATAATATGCACGATGGCTACCAATAAACTTGTGTTAACATGTTTAAATTGTATCGATGTATGACGAATAAAACAATTGATGAAAAATTTTGCTGCATCAAAATATTTACAATTTGACGTATTTTTATGCTTTCTACTAACTACTTTCCCTTTTCAAGGATGTTGAAAAAACGCGGACGGAACTGCCACTTAAAAATGATTGGGACACAAAAATGTCAGTGGTTTATAAATGTGTTTTTTTTTTTCAACGCCCTTAACTTTCCCTTTGTTTGTTTGGTCCCACTATTCACAATAGGTTTTGTTTTATAGTAATTTGTAAAACTGTGTGAATAGGGATTGAGAGACGAATCGAGACAGAAAAGGGCTGAATGGGTATTGGGAAATTCTTCTAGTATCTATTCACTCAGCTTTGCCGTATTGATTTCAGGAGGTGACGCGTAGTCATAAAGGCTGGGCTCTTGATTCTGTAGTTCTTCAGAACCACATCACTAAACTAAATAGAGAAGACGTACATGAAGGGCCAGCGGAAGGTGTTTATGTCTATGGACTATTTTTAGAAGGTAATAAAACAGTTTACTTTGTACTTTTGTTCGTGTCATAGACTCAATAATTGTGACTTGTTCATCGAGTCGAGTAACGTGAAGTTAAACGGCAAGTGAATGACTCTTTGATTGTATTCCTGTGTTGAGAAAGATTGAAATTATCTTGAATAAAATTTATATATTTATAATATTATGTTATTGATTTTAGGAGCATCTTTAGACAGAAAAACTGGAAAATTGATTGAGTCAAAGCCTAAAGTTTTATACGAGCAGATGCCTGTGATTTATATATTTGCAATCAATACAACAGCCGGCAAGGATCCCAGACTCTACGAATGTCCTATTTATAGAAAACCACAAAGAACCGACGCCAAATACGTGGGTTCTATAGATTTTGAAACTGATAGTAATCCGAGACACTGGACCCTGAGGGGAGTAGCCCTTTTGTGTGATATTAAATGAATCAAATGCAAGTTTATTAAATAATTAATGCTGATCATTGAGTGTATGTTTTGCTTATCTGCCTCGTTATGAAACTACGTCTCCTTGAACACTGATGCAGAACAAAATAAATCGAATGAATTCTCTGGCTAGAAAATTAGGCATAATATTAAAGAAAAGGTAAACTAAAAAATAAAACATTTGAAACCAAAATCTGTATTACAAACGAGTCACCACAACAGTATTTTAAAAATCACAAAAGTAGACAATATAGAATGAACACAATATCCGCGTAGAAACTCGTTTTCTGGGCCGAGTTATTAACTTGGCAGTAGAGTAATATACTACTGTTATAATGCTGCACCGACTGGTGCAGTTCACAATAACTTCTTGATATAGTCGTATAATACAAGGACAAACGCTCCACCAGTTCCTCTTAGCACGTTAGAGAAAGCACCTTTGAAGAATGCCCGGAATCCCTCTTTTTTCAATATTACTGCCCAGCAATGTGCAGTACTCTTATATTGACGCTGTTCTGGTGGTATACCGGACTGCATCATCATTCGCCGTCGCACCGTGTCCAGAGGGTAAGAACAGATCCCCGCAAATGTAGTGACACTCTGCAGCACGTAGAAAAAAAATTATTAATGACAGAAATACATTAGTGTGGCGCATGGGTCACGACTCCAAGACGCCACGCCACGGTTATGAGTCTCTGAAAACCTATAACTAAAGTGACAAATATCTAACATTATTCTATCTACAAAAATAAATCATGGTAACAGTATTACAACAAAAATAAATTACATCAATGAATTTAGAGTGTAATGATGTAAAAATAATAACCTGAGCAATGAACCAAGTTAATAACAGCGGAGTGTTGTTTGGATCAGGGAAAAATGCTTTTGCCGTGTCGAAGAATCCGAAGTACGTCGCACGATATATTATTATTCCCTGTACGGACACAATAAATCCACGGTACCAGCCCAATGGTCCATCTGACTTAATAGTCTTGAGCAGGCAGTCAATAAGTCCATTGAACTCGCGTTTCTGTTTTCCTTTACCGATATCTGCAGCTAATCTGTGGTACAAATACTTAATATTAAACTGCTGTTAATATGATATGATTTATTAAAGAAGTAAGGTCGATCTACTTATTAAATCTCGCAACGAATCAACAAATCGTCATAAAAATCAAAGAAACAAGTAAATTATGTCAGAACTAAGAGTTGATCGGTATAATGTTATATGGAAAACAAATTAAGTCATATATACCTATAATCACTATATTTATATGTATATTTAAAATAAGAGAAGGAGCTTGGTAAAATTATGTATACATGTATTTATAAAGGTTGTTTACCTGGTTCGTCCAAAATCTAGAGGGTACACAAAACACATAGATGTCGCACCCGCGGCTCCACCTGACGCCAAATTTCCAGCAAAATATTTCCAAAAGTTTGTATTCTTATTGACACCACCAAGGAAAAGAGTCTTGTATCTATCCTTGAAAGCGAAATTTAGCGCTTGTGTTGGAAAATATCGTATAACATTTGCGAAGTTGCCGCGCCATAAAGAGAAAAATCCTTGCTCCCTGGGTACTCTGACTAAGACATCGATAATACCTGTAAGAAAAAAGTGCATTATTAATCATTGTATATGTATAGCAACCCTTCTCATCGGTTTAAGTCGGTATCTAAAGATAAACAATCTTAACACAACTGTTATACAAAAATTGGTAAAATAATGAAGTCGTTTGAAAAGTTACTTTTTTTTAGCTTAATAGACTAAGATATTTTGTTGAAAATTACATTTCGGGTTGAATTGTTTTCATCTTTCATGTAAAAAAAGTTGTACAAAGACTGTTTATATTTAGTTAACTACATGAACGAATGGACTATAGACAAATCTAGTGTAGGTAATAATAGACATAGTTGTTTTATAGTTATAATGTATGTATGATATGTATGAATATGTTATGTTGTAGCCGTAACTGGAAATGTTTTTGATAAAAATTAAAAGAAACACTAGTTCTATTTCATTCTACTATCTACATAATAAAGTGAATATCAGTCTATTATTTTCAGTTTTAAGATTGATTGGTTTTGACAAACCTTTATATTTCTTGTCCTTTTTAAGGTGTTTGTGGACATCCTGTACTTGCAATAGGATTTTAACTCGCTCAATCGGAGCCACAGCGGTCTTAGACACGGCAGCTGATATACCTCCCGCTAGAAAATCTTTCACAAATGCGCTTGTTTCGCGCTTAGGCTTCGGCGCGTCTCCTTTACCTGCCATCAGATTTCCTTAATACTTCCTTACTTCCAAATGAGACAGTTTATGTCTCCAGAATCCAATACAACACAAATTTTGAACCCCCAAGCAAAAAAGTAGATTATATTATTCAGCAGCGATTTTTCATGTTGATAATAAAACTAACCCCATGTCAATTAATAAAACCAAAGGTAGAAAATCATAAAAAATAATAATTTATAATATTATTTCAAAATAATTTTTCATCACTTTCACTTCATGACATATTAAAAATACAACGAAAGTTACAAAAGACAAACGCTTTTCGAGTTTAAATTTAGAATGACCAAAAATCGACCAAAGGTTAATACCTAAATACTTTTTACTACCTAAATTATAAACAACTTTTTTATTAATAACGCTATGGAATGTGTTAAATATATTTATTGATTTTTTTTAATAATTGCTTTAAGCATAAAAACTAGATCAAATTAGAATGCATTCGTCCTATTAATCGATTTTGTTAGGTTTGGTCCCAAAGGATAATGGGTTATGTTGGGCTCACCTCTCAATAGGAATGCGGCTGCCTCCATTCAAAAATTGAATAATAATGGTGCAAAAATGGTAATGTGCAGTGAAATCAAGCGGACATTGCAGCGGCGTAGTGACGATGGCATGTTTAGCAGCATGATGATGACATTTTGCGTGCATCATGCTGCAAAGATTTTTAAGTGCGCTAGACTAAATTTTAGTAAGATAAAATAAATTGTAGAAAAACATTTTTTTGTGTCGCGTTTAAAAAATTATATAGTTAGTATATTATTTTGAGCAGCTACAAAGATAATATAAAAATCTTTTATGACGATGTATCTCCGAAAGCACTAACATTTGACCGTAGATATATTCTGAACTACGGCGCCATTCAAAAAGCCCTATCCAGCAGTACCTATATCACATATTGCTATTGAGAGGTGGGGCCAGACAACATACATTTTTGTTTCATAATTTATGTACTAACTCCGTTTAACCCATCTTCTGGAAAATGACGAAATTATGAAATAAATTATTACACGAACACTATTAACTAAAAGTCGCGGGTTACTCACGTGAATGTACTGAGAAAAGCTTTACTAGTTTCGAACAACAACAGAGGAGTTCTTCTTCGTGAGCAGCGTATGCGGTCGCAGCGATGTTGCGCAGCCTACCAGTAGGCTTTTCTCAGTATATTCACGTGAGTAACCAGCTATTTTTATTTAATTTAGTATGTCAACACGATAGTTATAATAAAAATCATTAATTTTGAATTGAACACTATTATTAATTTTGAATGTGGCTCTCGACGACCGAGTTTGGACACGAGCTACTTTGCCTGTCTCCTGTCCGCATGGGTGGTCTCGGCGTCCGCATAATTGTCAGTGTAAGGGCTACTGTCTACGTTGCGTCATTTGACGAATGTATACATCCTTCAAATCACATCAACAGCCTATAAGTAACCACAGCTGACCAACGACCTCTTCTCACATGTAAAGGGTTTGAGCAGTAATCAAAACGCTTGCTCATTGCGGGTTGGTAATTTCAAACTTATAATGATAAATTATAAGCCCAGGTTTCTCCACGATGTTTTTTCCTACACGGTTTGTAAGTGGTGTCAAAATAATCTTAGAAAGAACACAACTCAGAAAATGTCACATTGTAAAAACATCGTTAGGAAATCTGGACTTATAATTTGTAATTATTAGTTTGAAATCGCCAACCCGCATTGAGCAAGCGTGGTGATTAATGCTCAAACCTTCTCCGTGTGAGAAGAGGCTTTTCTCAGCAGTGGACATTTATAGGCTGTTGATGATGATGATAATGATGATTAGTAGGATTCAAGTCCGCGCCCTCTTGCATGAGAAGCGAGCGTCTTAAACCATCCTACAACGCGATGCAAGATGCGAGCAGTCGTACGAAAGTGTGCATATGCCGTATAGTTGCGTAGACAGCTGTCCTAAACCTTCCGGCTTTCACATCTTCCGTCCATGGTACTGAAGAATAGTCCAGGAAAAATCTTACTCATACAGTGTTTAATTTTGATGTTTGATGAAGGTTAACGGAAGCTGTGAATGCTTAGAAAGTTGCTTGCTCGAGTATTGACCCTTCCGTCAAATCATTCTCCCAGAGAGAATCGGCCGAGCTGCTTTGCAGTTAAGTGAGCTAAAATCTCTTAAAATCCTGTTGCTCTATTGCAGAGCGAGCTCTCCTGTTGGCTGTGATTGAATGGGAGTCGGAGCTATAGCTTCTTGCATTGCCTTTGTTCTAAATAGGTACTTTTTTTAAATGACATGACATTCCGTGCTTCAATTTGTAATCAAATTGGAGTTCCCTTCTTCTCACCTCATCGTTGTCGTTGTGGTGATCAAATGAATAGCCTTGGACACCACGGTCTGTCACGCAGCCGTAGTGCGTGTCGTTTTGCTCGACATATGAGCATTAATAACATTATTCGTTGAGCTCTTGTCACCATCGGCCTGCCAGCTACCTTAGTTATAGTTAAACACCAAACGTATTGTTCGCCGACTGTGAGTATGATCACTGTCTGCCCCAGTATAAATGAGACTGCAGTACGCATTCTCACCAAACCAACAATACGCAATAGCGTACAATACGCTACTTGTGTGAACAAAAGAATAGTCAATCAGTAATACCTTGTTATGTTCGACAACGTAGTCAAACTGTGTCCGCCGTTCAGACGCGTAGTACAATAATAAATCGGCCACCGAGAGTCAGCGACAACGGACTACAGTTGGTTCGGTCTAAACGAGATGTTTCATATGGTACAACAGGATGATGAAGTTGACGATCAAATGAACATGTGATTGGCAAGGTTCCTACAGTTATCAGGAAAATAATAAAAAAATCTAAGTCAGATAATTTTTAAATTACAATGACTTATCGTTTTATCCGCGAAAAAGTACAATCTGTGCCAGTCTTTTGACTCTTGTTGCTACAACTCTTTATTTTTCGTCTGTATTTTTGATTGCGTTATTCTGAATAGCGCTTCAGTATTATTAAATCATAAATTCTGAGCTAACTGCTTTGGTTTGGAAAAGAAAGTTACTTTTTGACGAACCAAGTGTTCTTAATAAATTATTCGCCTTACTTTAAGTGACTGTACTGAAGAAAAATTGTACTGCGGTAGCAGTGGCAAATTTCACCAAAGTTGGCGCATTTAATAAGGATTCTAAAATGGTATATCACTCGCTGCATTAGTTCTTAAATTCAACTTATTAAACCATATCATCTGTCTACTCATGATTTCGTTCGCAGTATTCTTCGGCAATATTGTCAGGAACAAGTTTCAAAGGAACAAGTTTGTGCATCATGTCTCTCTTAAAGTTTGATGTTTAACTCCAATTGTATGGAAACAAGTAATATGCCGTGCATCATATTCCGTTCGTTAAAATTTTCGGTAGTAGTAACCCGTCAGTCATGAACGTAGCCTGATAAGAGGATCCTCTCAACCCATTTTTTGGTAGTCGAATTTGTTTAAACGTGCAAAGGGCTCGTGCACAGTGCACAGTAGGCCACCACCGTGTCACCTTCACACCGCCATGCTGAGTACACGATGCCGCTGCGCCGTCATCACGCCGCTCCCTGCTACGTCTACGCTTGATTTTACTACACATTACCATGCATTATGACCAAAAGGTCATCAAATGTTCTTTAATGAGATGTGATCCACAGCATTTGTTCCTCTAGCAAGAATATTGCCAACGAATGCTGCGAGTAAATCATAAGTAGACAAATAGATTATATATATTATTTTATAAGTAGATTTCCAACATGTTTAGCAATATGATCATGACGTCATGTCGCGTATAAAGTGTTACTCAGTGCATACCTACGAGGTTTCTAGGTGCGCTTTAAGAATACAACAATACATTTTAGTAAGTCCAAATAAATTGTTCGAAATGAAGTTTTCGTTGAAAAATATTTTATGTGTCGAATTTAAGAAATAATGCTGGGAGTGATATACCATTTTAGAATCCTTATTTAATGGGCCAATTTTGGTGGAATTTACTACTACCACAGTACAATTTTTCTTCAGTACATTCACTTAAAGTAAGGTGAATAATTTATTAAAAACACTTGGTTCGTCAAAAAGCGACATTCTTCGCGATTACCTGGTGCCATTTGATCGTCAACTTCAGGGACATGTAGGTATATGGAAAAGCGATAAACTACGTAATGTGCGCTCACAGTCGGCGGCCGACTTTACGTTTGGTGTGGTCTTAAGCTCTAATAGACGATGCATTGGGACCTAAGGTTGCGGTTTCACTGAGGCGGAGCGCAGAAGAGCGGAATTGTAATATCGAAAAAAACAGGCTAGATTAGAGAAGCGACGAGAAAGGAACGACGCGATGCAGAGAACTCACGCTTCACGCACCAGGCGCTAGGCAACGCGAAAAAGCAAAGCACGTACCTCTTTTCACAGCTCATCTCCGCTCCACTCCGTTGCTGTGGAACCGCACCCTAATGGCTTGGTATGCGACGATGGCAAGAGAAATGACGGTGTGTCATAATTCCCTTCATAATGGGACGCCACTTGCGTTGATACTCTTGCGCCATCCCATCTTCCAAGCTCATCATGTTAAGACGTCACTACTGTGACTACTGCTGATAACCTCAAGCGGCAAAGGTATAGAAGAAGTGTAAAAACAAGTGTGTGCTATTCGACGATAAAAACACTGAATAAAAATAACACCGAATGATATAGAAGACATAATCCTAGAATATTTTCAAGATACCACCGAATTAAATAGAACTCTAAAATACACCCACTTAATGAGGTTAGAATTTCCATCATTGTTCAATTTGCATCGAACGTCAACTTCATCAACTTGAAAGCCGATATACTATACCAAAGAGGATATATGGGAATACTTTACTATCTGATCTGTCAGACGGTTAAGTTGACATCGACATTAACAACTTGAATGTTGCCATCACAAACTCCCAACTGAACTGCATTTACTTTTCGTTTCACACTATACTATTCGATACTATGGATGACCAA